TATAGATAAAAACATATAGTACACAGAATTAAGCCCGAGGATATACAGATAACTAGTGACAGGCCAAGACTAAAACCCAATCTCTGGACTCCTCACCCACTGCTGTTTTGCTATATGATACTAAGGTTCCATGAACAGACTGGCAGTGGGCATAGTTAATAAGGTTGGATGTAGAGGGATAGAAAGGGAGAAGTGATAGAGGAACCCCACGAGGATGAGTTTGTCACAGGAATTAGAGACATAAAAATATCCAGAAGAAGGCTGATGCCCTTCTATGTCTATTGCAGCAAAGAAGTCAAAAACACTGAGAACAGAAAATAAGCTCTGAGATTTGAAGTCGGGGTGGTCTCTGCCTTGCTGTTCTCTTCTGGTTCTCTGTTAGCATTCAGAACTGGCTGCACTCCAGCGCCACAGATAGGACTGTAAACATTTATAAGCCCACAATCATTTTTAACCAGCCTATTCTTGCCTAGATTATATAGCTTGACATTACACTAGCAGGAAAAGGAAATAAAATTAACATTGTTTATGACTCTGACCACTATAAATTATTACTAGCCCCAGGTTTATGGCCTATTGAAAAACTTAATGAATATGATAACACTTAAAATATTTTCCTTCCACGTATTTTGGGATATGACTTCACCTGATGCAGGAGTGAAAAGAAAACTGGAACAATAAAGTCTAAGTTGGAAGATATAGATCAAATGGGAGGCCCAGGGTTCATTTGTCACCTTCTACAAATGCCATCTTTTGGGTAGATGCATGCGTGCCACTGCCTGTGTGGTTAAGTCAACTTGGAATTAGACCCTAACCTAAAACTGTATTGATTTAATTATTTAACATGTATTTGTTGAGCACCTAGCTACCACCAAGCAGCAGAGATTGTTGAAGTGGCGAGGTATGTGCCTTACCCTCGTGGAGCATAGTTTAGAAGGGAAGCCCACCCTAAGCAAAGACATCTCCCCTCCCAACGTTTAACACCAGAGTGTGACACGTGCTCGAAGGAAAAGCGCCAGTGAGAGTGTTAAGGGAACCTAACCTAATGTGGGGAAGAGATGTACAGGGAGTGGGGGCAATTGCTCAAGGGTGAAATATAATCTGCCACCTAAAACACTGGTAGATAACGAGTAGGTAAAAATGAAAGGAAAAGTTTTCTGGCCGGAAGGAATAGACCATGCAAGAACTCTGAGGTGGGGAACACCATGGAGTCTTCCTCTAATAGAAAAAAAAAGTCACATACCTGGAAGTGTAGAGAATGGGGCAAAATGGCATGAGAAAAGTCTAGGGAAGCAGAAAGCCACATTTATATGCAAACGTGGTTGCCCATCTTTTCCTGGTCCCATGACTGCCTTATATCTCTCCTAGTTGCTTACTCTTGTCATGGTTTTTCTTTGGCACTTACTTCGCTATTCTTGGCATTCTCTCTTTAAAGTGGTCATTTCTCTTTTGTCTTAAATTGTCACAAGAGTGGAGTTGATCGCACACCGATGGGAGATGAGAAAACCCAGGATTAGGAAATACCTAACATTTTCTTGGTGGGAAGGAATACCAAGCTAATTGATTCATGTCAGTTGGATGTGAAAGAGAATTTAGACATCAAATATCGATAGCATGTTTTTCATAATGTTTATGTTGATGACTTATGCGTGGAGGAACTGTCTTGTAAAGAAAATAAAAGCAAAGGAGAGGGTGAGAAAGCAGGCATTTGTGTGTTTTTTTCCTTTCGAGATTCTGTGTCTTGAATAGTTTGAGAAGTCATTATGAGTTTAAAGATCTATCAGTCCTTAACTTCCCAGGTTTGACTAGTAAATAAAGTCATTCATCTAGTAGGAAGGTACCTACCATTGATTAGAGTGAAGCACTTCTAGAAAGCAGTTCAGACACTGGACCTTGATGTTAGGGCACTGGGACAACCTTTTCGTTCTGTCGGTCCTTCACTGTGTTGGAATGAATACCACACTCTACACCTTCTGTATATTAAGTACACACTGCCATAGGCCATCCATTAAGCCAGTTATTTGCAAAATGTTGATGGGGACCCCCAAAGTCCAAGAAGATCTATACAGTTTTCCTACTAGCACTAAGAAGTAATTTGCTCTTTTCACCTTCCTTTTGTCATGAGTGTAGTTTTCTGGCGGATACATGATGTACACACAATTATTAAAAGGCTATTAAAATAATCTCCCCCTTTCCAACTAAATGTCTATGTGAGGCCAGGTTTTCTTTACATATGACAACCAAATATATATATATATATACATATATATATATATATATAAACAGATTGAGCACAAAAGTAGTTATGAGAATCCAGCTGTCTCCTATGAAGTCAGACATGAAAGAGATTGACAAAAATATAAATTAATGCCACTCCTTTCACTAATTTTTTATTTTGAAAAATACATTATTTTCCCTATAAGTGTGTTATTTATGTTCGAGTTTATTATTATTTTAAATAGACCAAGAAATATTTTTAAAGTTTCTCAGCCTCTTTTCTAATGTGGTCAACATTGATAAATGTAGCCTGCATAAATGAAAGCTCTTTGGGAATCCTCAGTAATTCTTAGAGTTCAGAAAGGTCCTAAATTAAGAAGTTTGAGAATTGCTGCATTAAGCCCATGTCCGTTTGTCCTTTGGGTTGTTACAACCTGGACTGTACAGAAAGTTTTCCAAATGTGGCACGTGGCCCAAGAGAGCAAATGACAACAGATGTCCTTTTTCAAGACATCTATTTTTCACTTTTCCTTTCTTGAGGTAAGAAGTGTGCCACAATTGGTAATTACAGCATATAAAAGTGGGCATGTGACTCTGTTTTATCTCTCCCCCAAGGCCCTTTTTATTTCCATCACACTGAAAATGCTTTGGGCTTGGAGAGGAGCCCATGGCTGCGTGTGCCACTTTAACCACTGCCCTTGAGCGGCAATTTCACGCTGGGGCCATGGTTCACTGGGGGCTCTGATGTACAGCAGACAGTGTTATTTGTCACAACCCTTCTCTGGGTCACAAATATTTTTAATTAAAGTTGCCTGTAAATAGCTGACATCCATTTCCTCTGGAACTTACAAGTCAGTAGAGACTGGGCTTATCAGGCTTAGTTCGGGACGTCTAGCCAGACCAGGCAAATGAAAGTTGAGTGTTTAAAATTGAGCTTCAGGCATTCGATAGCACTGCTGTTTAAGATATCTGCATTGCCCTTCCAGATGAGGTACAATTTACTTTAAATACCCATACAGTATTTTTCTCCTGTAGGTGGTGGTTCCCCTTTATTTTTTCGTAAGTGGAGTTAATCATTCCTTGAAATTAAGAGTCAAGTGAGAGGAAAAGAAAGACAGATATTGAGGCGTTTTAATAGAGCTTTGAAACTGCCATTGGGGTTACTACGGGTACAAGACAGTGTTACTTGCTCTAAGAGGCATGCATGGTCTTTTAAATCTCGTGACATCTTCAGATTTTGAAAATTACATTCTAGTGGAAACTTAGCTCATAGACCCAAACATAAGAGAGTAGTTTTAGATGAAAGAGGTAATCTCTTTGCTTATTTTGGAGCAACAAGAAAGTTAGAAAAAGGTACAATTAGGTCATGTAAAACAGTAATTACACTTAAAAACTGTTTACTATTATATTTAACTTTAGCAGGTGAAACTATGAGGACATTGATTTTATTCCTTTCAGGAAAAACACCTTCAACTCACCTCGTTTGGTTATAAAGACGTTTTTTTGACCCCAAGTAGCCACACATTTTTTTTTTCAAGCACCTGTTTGTTACACAGCTGCTAAAGTTAATAGTAACCAGGCCGGGCGCGGTGGCTCATGCTTGTAATCCTAGCACTCTGGGAGGCCAAGGCGGGTGGATCATTTGAGCTCAGGAGTTCAAGTCTAGCTTGAGCAAGAGTGAGAGACCCCTGGCTCTACTAAAAATAGAAAGAAATTAGCTGGACAACTAAAAAATATATAGAGAAAAAATAAGGCAGGCATGGTGGCACCAGCTACTCGGAAGGCTGAGGCAGGAGGATCGCTTGAGCCCAGGAGTTTGAGGTTGCTGTGAGCTAGGCTGACGCCATGGCACTCTAGCCCCAGCAACAGAGACTCTGTCTCAAAAAAAAAAAAAGTAGTAACCAATGACCTTGGGCATTTGGAACATGAGAGGTGTAGAGTATATATCTATCCCAGGTCTAGGTGCCACTCTTGGCTGCCTCTCAGGTACCTGGTGCCGCTTCTCCGTGGCACTAACATGCTACAGTGTTGCCGCCTTCCTTGTCTGAATTCCACTCAGTTGCCTGTGAATGTCGAGAGATTGTCTCTCTCACTCACTCTTCTGTTTCCACTACATACATGGTGCATGCATGGTGTTAAGTTTAGCTTGAGACAGGTTCTGTAACATGCTTTCTCAGATCTTCTGATTGAAAGACTGAGTCTCCTCCCTACCAAAGAATAGAGGTTTTTGCTTTTCAAGACCTTTTAATTGCCACTTTGGCTAAATAAATGATTATTATCTTACATTGACCCGTGACCCTATTTTGATTTAAGTGTTTTAAAACTTTGACATATTTGACAGGCTTTCCAAAATCAAATTTCAAATTCAAAATTGTCATTTTGTTTTTTTACTTCAGACTAACTCTAAAATCATTCCACCATTTTGTTTCACCTGTTTTCATTGGGACGATTACTGGGGTGAAGGGCATCTCATTTGAACAACTATTTTCAGGCCTTTTGCAACAGTAGGGCATATTGTACAGGTCCTGATGTTTCCTGATGTCCCATTTTAGTAAACATCAGCTGGTTCACCACAAAGGAACTAAACACAAATATGAATTGTAAATATTCATGCACAGTTAGTATTGACTTTCATTCAGGAAAAGTACATAGTGCTTTATCTCAGTGCCTGTTGTATAGTAGATGCTAAGTAAATTTTTTCTGCATATCCTGCTCCTAATATTCAGTTCATTATTGATTTTTTAAAAACTGTCTCACTTTTGTTTTTAAATTCTATTTTAAAGGGGAGATTTAAGGAAGCTGAAGAAATATACCAAGCTGGAATAAAGAACTGTCCAGACAGCTCAGATTTACACAACAACTATGGGGTTTTCTTAGTTGATTCTGGTAAGTGAAATTAAAGATAAACTGTCCTGTTGAGATTAGATAATACTACTCATCAAGCAAAATGGAAGGCAGACAATGCCTCAGAAGTAAAATTCACTTGGCTTGGCAGGAAGCTCATACTATTGTCAGTCATTGTACCTTGGGGCTGTCATTTCCCTAAAACATCAAGCTCAGTTCAGGAAAACCTGCCTGGTTCTTACAATCATGTCTCTAAGGAAAAGTCCCCAGGTGGCAGGAGGTAGTCTGGATGATTTAATGAGCCCCAGTCTTCTTCGAGTATCATTTATACATATTTATAAATCTATGATGATGAAGTATTCCTCTACAATAATGCAGAACCTGCCTCTGAAACTAGTTACTGGCAGATGGTAAATACTTTTCGATAACTGACTATCTAAAAAGCCTCCAGAATTGTTGCATTGTTCCTTCCTTGATACACATTACAGAAACTGCATTATTAAAATGCATACAGCGCTCTTATATGACAGGTGCTCTATAAAATACACTTACTTCGTCTTATTTAATGCAAGACATTACCGGGCAGGGATCCTGTTTTCTTTATGATTTGCACAGAGCCCCATACACTGCTGGCATGCAGTGAATACTTACAAGTAATGAAATTATATTTGAATTTAATGCAAAGGCACCACTTTGTTCTTCTGACTACTAGACTGGCTGCCCTGCAGTAAAATTCAGTTTTAATTATTTTTTTCAATATGAAATGCTTGAAGGGGTTTTTATTTTCTAGGATATTTGAAGCTCTTCTGTTTTATAAAATATGAATTTACATTCTGATACATCTGGGAAACTTACTGTAGTTTTGCATGTGTAAAATTGTTGTGGAGTGCCACCTACTGGTTCATTAGGCACATAATAATAAATTGTCATAAAGATAGAAAAACCAGAAGAGACCTCCAGTTGGCCTGGTCTAACCCTCCTCCTTTTACTTCAACAACAAACAATCGCACCCTTCACCCCTGAAAATGACAACAGCAAGTCACTGACCGCCATATGACATTGAGTCTCTTTTGGTACCTTCTAGGCAAACTTGTACTCAAAGCAGGTGCACTTGAGAAGATTTCTGTGCATATAACAAACATTCCATTCCATTTAGAACTTAAGACTATTCTAAAGTTCAGGCACTTAGATATAATTTTACTAGGAAGCTTCTTTGGAGGACCTCATCAGCCTGGAGAGACTTGATTCTAGTTCTGGCCTTTTACCTCTCTTGCTTTGGCCTGGGATCTTTGTTAAATCTCTTAATGTCTTCGTACCTTAGTTTCTGCATCTGTAAAGTGGTAAGTGTGTGTGTGTGTGTGTGTGTGTGTGTGTGTGTGTGTGTGTGTGTGTGTGTTTTAATCTCTTAAATTCCAGCAGGTAACTAAATAGCATCAAAAGGCAGCTAAATAGTATCAAAAATACCAGCAAAGATCATATAAATAAAAGTACTTGACAATATATAATGTATTACACAAATTCAAGGTAGCATTATTATTGTGTTTGAAATCCCATTTAATACCATTTAAACAAAAATGTATGATTTTAAAAAGAGATTTTCAAGATAGAGCTGATATATACTTGTTTAAAAACAATGCCTCAATTACTATGTTGCAATACAGCTGAGACAGTTTTGTTTCTGTAACAGGCTACTCTATTTTTTGTCTAATGAGAGGCAAATTTATCTCAGATAAATAACAATCAGTGATAATCTTAAAATATCAGATTAGCAAGAATGACCAGAAAACACTTTGGCTAAAATAATGCATGTAATAGAAGGAATCAGTGTTAATTTTTACTGCTTTTTTTCTTCTTAGTTTTTTGGAAGTGTGAATGAATAGTGAAATGGTTCAAAGTTAGGCAGTGGCAAGGATGAGAAGCCAAAATGCAAACTAATTTACAAATTGAATAATTGACGGTATGACTCTGTAATAAGGAGGAAGAGCTGTAAGTCGGGAGAGAACTTGAAGAGCTCATGCTCATGTTCTGCTCTTCCCAACCCATCCCTGGTTACAGGCTTTCCAGAGAAGGCAGTGGCCCATTACCAACAGGCCATCAAACTTAGCCCCAGTCATCACGTGGCCATGGTGAACTTGGGGAGACTCTACAGGTCACTGGGAGAGAACAGCATGGCTGAAGAATGGTACAAACGGTAAAGCTCCTTTTCTTCACTTTATAAGTTGCCCAGAGACCTCAGCAATTGCCCATCAACTTTTTAGTGAACTAGAACAGATGTGCTCTCAGAACACTAACAAATTTTGCCAATTCAAGTGATACAGATTCTCACCTCCAAAGAGAACAAGACAGCAGTATAAATGGTATAAACGGCATCCCAGATGATGACATTTTTCCTGCTGGTTAGTCTATGGCGCTAAACTAAGGTGGGAATTTAATTCCCACTTTAGTTAGCCCATTGTTTTCTGAAGCTATGGATCACAACCCAAATCATAAATAGCAATTTCAAAAATGGGAATACATGAAACCTTGTGCACATACATCAGAACAATCTATCACCATTAAGGGGAAAGACCGTTTGGACTCAGTTTCCATTATTGATAGATCACTAGAGACATTAATTTCAAAAATGGGAATACATGAAACCTTGTGCACATACATCAGAACAATCTATCACCATTAATGGGAAAGACCATTTGGACTCAGTTTCCATTATTGATAGGTCGCTATAGGGACATTCTAATGTTCAGAGGGCGGCATGATGATCATTTTTTAAAAACCTTGCTCTTGATATAAAAACAAAGACCGTGTCAGAGCAGAGTCTCAAACCATGGACAGTCCTCCCTAAATTAAGCTTAGGCATTTGGAAATGTACCCATTAGAAGAAAAGTGTCAATTAGCTGTTCTCCGAACCCAGCGCCCTGCAGGTGGCACACAAAGCTGAAATCTTGTCACCTTTGGGAGCACTATATTACAACACTGGCCGTTACGAAGAGGCTTTGCAGATTTACCGGGAAGCTGCAGCGCTTGAGCCTTCTCAAAGGGAGCTCCGCCTGGCACTGGTGAGTACAAAGATGAAAGAAAATGAAGCTGGCAACCTAAACACAACGTGCAATGAAGAGAGCTGCAGTTGTCAAGCCTCGAAACTAGAGTTGGAATGCTATATATAATACAGGGGTCCTCAAACTTTTTAAACAGGGGGCCAGTTCACTGTCCCTCAGACCGTTGGAGGGCCGGACTATAGTTTAAAAAAAACTATAGGCCGAGTGCGGTGGCTCACGCCTGTAATCCTAGCACTCTGGGAGGCCGAGGCGGGCGGATTGCTCGAGGTCAGGAGTTCGAAACCAGCCTGAGCAAGAGTGAGACCCCGTCTCTACTATAAATAGAAAGAAATTAATTGACCAACTAATATATATATAGAAAAAATGACCCGGGCATGGTGGCACATGCCTGTAGTCCCAGCTATTTGGGAGGCTAAGGCAGGAGGATCGCTTGAGGCCAGGAGTTTGAGGTTGCTGTGAGCCAGGCTGACGCCACGGCACTCACTCTAGCCTGGGCAACAAAGCGAGACTCTGTCTCAAAAAACAAACAAACAAACAAACAAAAACCAATGGGCAAAAACACCTGCATGTGGCCCGAGGGCCATAGTTTGAGGACGCCTGCTAGAATATATCAATTGTATTAATCGTCACACAACCAGTGTTAGACCCATTCACCAAAGATGTGGACACCAAAAATACTGTGTTTTTGTTCTCAAATAATTTCAAACTTATGAAAAATTTGCAAGAATAGTAAAAAAAAAGTCTCATATACCCTTTCACCCAGATTCATCGTTTTTTTTTAACATTTTGATGCGTTTATCAGTCCCTTGAATATGTATGTGTGTGTATATATACATATATGGATATATGTGCATATTTAGAAATGTATGTATGCATATACCTATTATTAGTACATGTGATTTTTCTTCTGAACCATGTGAGTATTCATAGATATCATATCCCTTCATCTCTAAATACTTCCGCATATAGTTCCTAAGAAAAAATATATTCTGTAATCATGGTGCCATTATCAAACTCAGGAAAATTTACATTCATATCAACAATATTTTTATTTCAATGTTTGGAACTTCACCCTTCCTTTTCCTTAGATGTAGAAGAAATCAGACTTACTACAAATGCAATGTTCTGTTGAAATCAGAGATTATTTCTCTTCTGACATGTTTAGTCAACTCTTTTTAAAAGGCACAAGCCATTTCATTGGATATCTTTGGTGTTCCTGCCATTCACACACAAATGCATGCAAATACCTAAACAAATAAAGAAACAGCAGAAAGTTAAAACCTATCAAGTGTGGTGATTCAGCCTTCTCTTTGAGCCACAAAATAGATGCTGAGCATCTTGAGCGTTTCTGAAAAGCTCTCTTCGGGGATGCTTTATGTGATAAGGTGACAACAAAGCGTCTGCTAAGCCAAAGTCCGTGTGGTTTTGCAGGCTCAGGTTTTGGCTGTGATGGGTCAGATGAAAGAAGCTGAAAAGATGACCAACCACATTGTGTCAGAGGACACGGGATGCCTCGAATGCTACCGCCTCTTGTCAGCAATCTATAGCAAGCAGGAGTCCCACGACAAGGTAGAGAAAGACGCTGTCTGTTCAGCGTTGTTTGCGTTCACGGGTAGAAAATGGTGCGCCTACACAATCCTCCAACTTGCATATTTATAAGGCTGAGAAGTCTTAAATCTCATTAGTTGACACGTCCTATCTTATGGAAATTTTTCACAAATCTCTCCAATTCCTAAGATGTCCCCTTGAAATAATATTTTCGTGGCTCACCCTTGGTCTGGAGACTGTATGTGGTATGTCTCAGTTCATTTTCAGCTAACTCTGTAAGATCAAGACTAACATTTGTATGCTTTATCATTTCCCATGTTCCTGCTAATAGATTGCTTTACGTGATCCTTGTAACAACCCTGCAATGCAGGTCAGTGACACAGCATTGCAACTGTCACTGTTTATCTCCATTTTAAAAGCCACATAACCAGTAAATGTATGAACTGACTCAACAAAACATTTGTTGAATGCCTGCTATAGGCCAAACACTGTACTAGTAGGCACTGGGAATAAAGTGGTATGAAAAAAACAAAAAAGTTACTGCCCTTGTCCTCAGGGAGCTTACAGTGGAGGAGACAGAGGCCAAACAAGTAACCACCAAACAAATGTAGAATTACAGCTGTGCCCAGTGATATCATGAAGAGCTACATGGTCCCAAAGAGCGTATAGTCAGGGGACCCGACAAGTCTGGAAGGTCAGGTTTCCCTGTGGAGTGATGCAGTGGTAAGGGCTGGATGAGGAATAGGAGTTATTAGGCAGGAGGGGCAGCAAAGAGAGTTCTGGGCAGGGAAGCAGCACATGCAAAAGCCCTGGTAGCAGCAGGGGCTTGCCTGAGGAACGGGCAGGAGTGAGCAGGGGTGCAGTGGCAGATGCATGCACAGGTTGCTAGGAGTAGACCCTCTGGGGCCAAGCCAAAGGTTTTGCTCCTTATTCTGGGAGAAACTTCGGTGTTTTAAGGAGAGGAGTAACCTGACCATATTTATGCTTAGAAAGGATCTCTGGCTGCCAGGGGGCAGCGGGTACGGGGAGCAGAGTGGGCATCCGGAACTGAGAGGAGGCTCTTAGAGTGACCTAGATGGACACATGGTCAGGGCAAATGCCTGACCTTAAATCTTATTTTCTTTCAACTGTATCATATAATCTCCCTGTAAAGTGATCGGGGACATTGTATTGTTACTTATCTGTAAATGGGAAACATGGAGTATAAGAATATTATTTTGTCGGGGCCATCAGTTTATCAGTGAGAAAATCAGAGAGAAGAAAGAATGTATTTTGATTGTCACACACCACACCAGCCAATACATAGGGACAAAAAGTAGAAATTTTTTCAGTTAAGTTTTTCTTTACCTAATCTGTATTTATTGTCTTAATTTCCAATCACTGCAGGCACTCGATGCTATAGACAAGGCTCTCCAGCTGAAACCAAAGGACCCAAAAGTCACATCTGAACTTTTTTTCACAAAAGGAAACCAACTAAGAGAGCGGAACCTTCTTGACAAAGCTTTTGAGGTATAAATACTTAATAAAATTATGTTATTACGTTCATGGATTAAAATTAATTCTCCTTCACTCTTTAATGAAGCATAAACAGTAAAATCTAAGATCATTGACATGCTTGTGGAGTTAGTTTTCTGATTCATTGACATAATGTTATGTTTATTTTTTTATGATTGGACACCTGGCTTTTGACTCTTCGGAGCTAGGCAATACCTTTGCGTTATTTTCTGGAGGATTGCTTTAACTTGATGTTCAAAGCATTCCACATTTTGGCCTCAATCCAGCTCTCTCTCCTTTTTTCACTGCATGCAAGAACCCTCTACTCCAGTTGGACTAGTGCCTGAATAGCTTTGGGCATTTCCACATGTTCTCGAAATACTCCTTCCCCGCTTGGTAGATGAGATTCTCACTCAGCCACCATGCCACAAGAGTCTTTGTCCTCCTGCCTCAGAAAGCCCTTCCTCACCGTCCCTTATTCCTAGTGACCCTGCTTCTTCTGAACTCCTAACAAACACTGAGGTACCAGTCATTTGAAAGTGTCTTGTATTGTTAGGTCCCTCACCACCCACATGCAGTGTGTGTGTGCGTGTGTCTACACACACATGCGTTCTTGCATTTCATCTCCCCAGTTAGATTGGGCTTTCCTTGTGGAGAGGGACTCCTTCCTTCTCTGTTCTAAAACAGTGTCTTGCATCTTATAGGTGGGTATTCAACATCTACAGCTTTGGAGTAAAATGTATTCACAGATTGAAGTCAAGAAGACATTCACAAACACAAATAGAAATGTTACGGAAATACCTTACTTACATCTGGGAAAGCCAGTTGGAATTAATGAAGTCACAAAGTTACATTATGTATATTATGGGAATAGTAAAATCTCAAACGATCTAATTGTGTTGGAAAATAAACAAATGGATGGCTTTTAAAATACTATTGGAAAACACATGTAAAGATTTTGGGGAAAACTCATTTGAATGTGAACCCTTAAGAGAGGAGCAGAAATTGTGGCATTTTTCTCCGAAAAATTGTGAGCATTTTTCTCAGGAATTGTAGGGTTTTTTCCTCTACATTTTGACACTATGAATACCTTCATTCTTAAGTTATTTATAACTAAGTGAAAATTTAATTATTAATGATTTGATTATGAATATTTATATTATGTGTGTGTATATATATATGTTATATTTATCTGTAGCTTAATACATTTATTGAAAATAAAAGTATTTTCTAGTTGCTTCACCAGTGGATCAAATAATCATTACAGAGTGGCTACACTTATGAAGAACAGGAATGGGGCCGTTGTTTAATAATAATTGCTAAAACGTGTCAACACTCTGTGTATAATTCACATGTATTAAGTAACTTAATCTTCACAACAGTCATACAAGAAAGGCACAGTCATTGTCACCATTTCATGCTTTCATCAACGGAAACTCAGAGGTCATATATCTTGCTCAAGGTCATAGAGGGGTAAGAGATGGAGTCAGGATGTCAATCTAGCTCTTAACTTCCACACTATTTCCGTCTATGCTGATATAAATTAATCTGAGAAGACACACCCTTCCAGTTTATTTTAGCATCTTTTCAAAAGTACAGTTTCCTGTCATTTGCTTCTTTTTTCCTAAAACTGAAGCAAAGGAGGATGAACAAGGTTTTACTCTGTTGGATCTGTTTGGTTGAATTCTTGCTAGTGAAAATTGCAAGGAACATTAAAATGTACACACAGATACTTAGCTTTGTTATTGAAGGCAACACTCTTAGCCTTTGGCTTTATGTAAGGTGACCACCCTTGAGACTCAAGGGTGAGCACACCTTTGATGCAAAACAATATTCATAATATTAAAAATATACCTCACAGATATCACATTGGATATGTTACTGCAACCGAAAGTACTTGAGGGAGATAAGTAGCTCTCTTCAAACATTTGAAGATCTTTCATGTGGCAGAAAAACAAAAGAAAAATTTTATAATACATTAAACTATCCCCTCTTAAAATAGATGTTCTTAAAGAAATAATGAATATCTATTTTAAGAGTTTAAAATTCTGTGATTATGAAAAGATTTTTTTTTTACCAACTCCATTTGAAGTGAAAAAGGCCCAAAAACACAGTTGTTTTGCAGGTCAGGGCCAGGGGGAAAATGATGCACTGTAATAGAAATCACCTGAATTCCCTGCAGGTGTCCTTTCTCTAAGTCCAAAGGTTAGCTCTGCAGGAAAATTACACATTTCAGTTTCCTCCACTTTAGAATCACCAACTTTGAAAAATAATAGAAATAAACTGTGTCTCCTGTAAACCAGCAGTGCCTGAACACATTATGGGAACTCTAAATTTTCACGCGTGAAGAAAGTGGTTTCCGCAATCCTTGTTGCATTAAAGATGGGTCCTTGTTTCCTAACCTGAAGATATTTCTTATTTGTTTAGAGCTATAAAGCAGCCATAGAACTAAATCCAGATCAAGCACAGGCCTGGATGAACATGGGTGGCATCCAACACATCAAGGTAGGAGGATAACTCACCTCCATGTGAACTGGGTTTTCCCTTTGTGTGTTCTCTTTTTTGTCTTTTTTCTGTCTTAAAGGATGGAGAAAGCTATTGTTAATTTCCTTTTTGAAATTATTTGAATACCAAAAACACGGGTGTTTAAAAGGGAAATTCGTACAGTTTATGTTCACTTTGCATTACCTGGATACTGAATAGCAAGAAGCAATTTTAAAAATAAATCTATATAAATTAGAATCCATGATTTTAATAATCATATAGAAAATCAGGGAATCTATGAGAAGTATCAGACAGGAGAAAAAGCCTGTTTATATGAACTGAATCCCTGTTGGAGCTTAGTGTGGCTTATTTTTCTCCCAGTTTAACTCACTGTCAAGATTAATGTGTTTCTTTAACTATTACTTTCCAGTTTCTTATATCTAATGTATCTTCCACTCCATAACCTTTTACTGAGAAGCAAGCTTGTTTGTTTTGTTTTGTTTTGTTTTTTCCCAAAAGAAAAAAAAAAAAAAACTACCTTTCAGTGTATCTTCCTGAGGATTAAAAATGACCTTTGAGGAAAGGGGGAGCTATTAATCTATAATTACTGCAATCAAAGACTCACCATCCTTTATCCATTGATTCATCCATTCATTTTACAAGCATTTATGAAGAGCCAGGTACTCTACTAGGCACTGGGAATACAGCAATGAACAAACAGGACAAAAATTCCTGTTTTTATCATGCTAACATTCTAGTAGGAGGAGATAGATGATAAATACATACATACATGCATGCACACATAATTCACACATATGCACATGCATATGTACATGCATAAAATATGTCAGATGATGATAAGTGCTATGGAGGAAAAAAAAGAGAGAAAGAATATTGGAGTGCCAGGGAGCGAGGGCTCAAATTTTACATTCAGGTGGTTAGGGAAGGCATCAGTTAAAAAGTGATTCTTGAGCAGAGAGGTGAATTGAGTGAGCCATGTGGCAAAGTAAGGAAGGAGCAAAGGCCCTGAGGTTCAAGTGTGCCTCTTGTGCTTGCAGGACAGTGAGGAGGCAGCGTGGCTGGGGCAGAGCAAGTGAGAGGAAGTGGCAGAAGCTGAGGTCAAAGAGGCCACAGGGCCAGATCATATAGGGCCTTGCAGGGGATTGTAGGGGCTTTGGCTCTTATGTCAAATGAGTCAGGGTCCTTGGAGAACTTTGAGCAGAGAAATGCCATGCATGGTCCAACATGCTTTAAGACCATTCCTGTTTAGCTAACTTATTTTCAGGATTCTGTCAGTCTCCGTACTGACAAAATAGCAGTGTAGTGATTAGAATTTAAACAAAATCCTAACAGGTTTTACTGTTAGGTGGAAAATGATCACTCTTGGAAACGCAACAAAACAAAAAGGCAGCCCATGACTACACAGATGGGAGGGGATAATGGGATAGTGGCCCTGCAGCTGACAGCTTTGATCTAGTAGATGGCAAATGCATGCATGACATTTATCAGAGCCAGATTGCCCACCTTCTGATCATAGTGATATTCTAGGTCATCCAGCAATATCTAGTTGGGAAGCATGGGATGAACTTACTTTAAAATAGTAAAATAATAATTTTAAATATTTTCAATCGTATATTAAATAGTGATATTTTCAAATACAGTCATGTGCCACATAAGGAAGTTTTGATCAATGACAGACAGTATATATGATGATGGTCCCATAAGATTAAAATACTGTATTTTTACTATACCTTTTCTGTGCTTAGATATGCTTAGATACACAAACACCATTGTGCAGTAATTGCATAGGCAATTCTGTATGGTAACATGCTATTCAAGTTCATAGCCCAGGAGCAATAGGCTACACCAGGCGTCCTCAAACTACGGCCTGCGGGCCACATGCCGCCTGCCAAGGACATTTATCTGGCCAGCCTGGTGTTTTTGCTGCCGCTGCCTGTCCTGCTTAGCAGCCAACTCATCCCAGGCCCACAGTGCACACTCTCCAACGGTCTGAGGGACAGTGAACTGGCCCCCTGTTTAAAAAGTTTGAGGGGGAGGGGGGCGGGTATTGGGAGGGGGGCGGGTATATACATACATAATGAGTGAGATGTGCACCATCTGGGGGATGGTCATGATGGAGACTCAGACTTTTGGGGGAGGGGGGGGAAATGGGCATTTATTGAAACCTTAAAATCTGTACCCCCATAATATGCCGAAATAAAAAAAAAAAAAGTTTGAGGACCCCTGGGCTATACCATCTAGGCTAGGCGTGTAATAAGCTATACCATCTAGGTTTGTGTAAATATACTCTATAATGTTCACACAAGGACAAAATTACCTAATGACATGTTTCTTGAAACATATTTCTGTCATTAAGCAACAATGACTATAATGTGTTCAGTATGTGTTTAGATGGATTGCATCTGCAGTTAAAGCAACCGGCTTAGTTGTTAATTAGAAAAAGTACAACAAATACTCTCAAGTGTCCAAAAACTCTAGAAATACAGAGAAAATTATACATCTCTCGTATTCTTTAAGGTTAACAGTTGAAACCATTGCTTTAAATTTAGAGGTACTTCCCCTCAAAAGGTATCTAGAAATTGAAGAAGGATCCTACTGAGTGTATTATTTTAAAATGTGACTAATGATGATTAGAAATTAGTTTATCCTGTTTTTTTTTTTAATCTTTGCAGGCATCATGTATTAGCTTGAACAATATAAAATTGCCATATAGGTACTTTTAAAATAGCTTAATATCAGTGAATTCATAGGATGCAATCTAATATAAATATATAGAGCATCCACATGGCTCAGATGTGGTCCCTGTGATGCCACCATTAGGATGCCGGGTTGTCATTGTGAGGGCATTATGAGACAATCATGAACTTTCTGTGTCTTCTGCATGGTCAGAAAGAAGTATGTGTATCAGGCAGTGTTATCCCATTCCTGAGCCTTGCTCCTTCCCTGAGTCTAGAAGAAGCTTATTTTCTGCCATTAATTTACAATCATAGGGAAAAAAAAGAGAGCGAGAAAAAAAAAAAGCAGCAGCTTAGGCAGGGCTGTAGCAAGGTGGAGAGTTGGAATAAGGCTCTGTGTAAAAGAGGTCAGAAAGTGATAGCGAGAAAAGAGTGAGTTTCATGTTTGTTTCTTGCTTGTTGCCACTTGGTAATCAAAGATAACCCTTTCAGTGAAGTTTTATGTAGGGTGAAATAGATGAGTGGACCATAAAAGCTGTAATACAGTCTTTCTAGTCAAAGAGTTGCATCGACAGGACCATATCATCACAAAGTCCTGTTTTCAATACTGCATCAAGACAGTAATGTATTTTCTAGCATGGCATTTTCCAAGCTGAACTTTTCACGATGATGGAAATGTTCTCTATCTGCACTGTCCAAGACAGTAGCTACTTGGCCACATGAAACTATTGAGTACTTGAAATGTGGCTGGTACAAGTGAGGAACCGAATTCTTAATTAATTGTAACGAATTCAAATGTAAGTAACCACATGCGATATTAACACAGTTTTAGAAACTGGATAATTTAGATTTCTTACCTGTGTTTTACAGAATTGGGGACACTGACTTAAGCAATGTAACTTCTAGGTTTTTTTTTTTTTAATGTAGCTTCTAGTTTAATCAAGAAAAGAGCAATTTTAAGAGAGAGAAAACGAACTAAGTTTTTTGTAAAAAGACAGAGAAACCTGTTGATCAGAGAAGAAGATGCCAAGGTGCTAAGCCTAAATTCAGGGAGCCTCCTAGAAGAACAATTTCAAAAATCAACTGTAGTGAGAACATATTTTGAGAGCACTCTAAAAGCCACAAATGTGTGGTTGTCTGCATGTATGTGCTAAGCTTAATAAAAATCAGAAGACATTTGGAAGATAAATGCTTGAGTTGAAAAAAAAAATAATTGAGAGTAGCAATTCCAAGCTCCCACTTGTTCAGCAATCTGTTTAGCTTCATATCAGAGTCAGTGTTAATAATCAAAAATACTTCCATTTGTTGCACATGCCAGCACTTGGATTTCCAATGTACAGTCTCTTGTTCTGTCATTTCCACTTTCCCTTTCACCAATATGTTTTGTCATTTCCACTTTCCCTTTCACCAGTACAATAAGCAAATACTATAAGAAATAGACAATGCTTATACAGAGACTGGATAATCATTTAATAATAACAGTAACAATAGCATCACATTGAAGCTCCCTATGCGTCAGGCAGTGTCTACGCTTTTAACACATATTAACTCATTTGGAAGATAGTTAGGCATTCAGCAGGTATTTGTTGCTAGTTGCTATGAAGTACTTTCACTCCAAGAGATATAATTTTAAATTGTGATGGAAATTTAGAGAGTCACTGGTGTTCATCCACATGGGAGCTGTAACTGAGGATAGATAGAGCAAATTCATATTTTTTGGAATGGGGAGGACTCTAACAATCTCAGTTCTGAGACTGTGTAGGACACAGATCTGAAAGAGGGTGGACCACATAAGAGAGGCAAATACATCCAGCAGCAGAAAAGGTGCTGAAAAAGCTAACAGTTGGGCCTGATTTGCCAGAAGACCATCTGGGACCAGGCGCCCGTGGTTGCTCGTTGTGGAGTCACTGAACAAAATAGATGAGAGCCAACAGAGGGTGGGGACAGGTGTGTTTAGCAAACCAGAAATGATACAACCTCCCTCCTGCCTATGAGTATCCAGCTGGATCATATTGCCACACACCTGGAGTAGTGAATAAATTTGACACCACATTCTCATCAACTCTCTTTTTCATTGTGTAAAAATTAAAATTTGCATTAAAGCCTATATTAGGCAAAAGTTGCTTTTATATTTTAAGTTGAAGATTAGAATAACTCCTACCACTAAATAGATATAGTAGATGTCGAAACTATTTAATCATTCATACAGTTTCAAAAACTTCCTTTCTCTCTCTTCCCCCATCCCCACTTCCTCATATAAATTTCTACCCATGATTCTGTTTGATTACAAAGAAACAGTGCTTAACCCATGAGAACACTGGGAAATGATAGCCTCATACCCTACATTAGTAGAGGCCATTTAACCTTATGGTGTAACTCTGATGCTACATAATTCTCCAGCTGATCTGGCACTTAAAACAAGCATTCTCCGAAAGTACCAACAGATAAGGATGAAATTGCCAATGCAGATACAGACAGGGTTTCCTTATGAGAACATTATAATGTTAGACCGGGCAGAGGGTCAGTTCCTTAGCCTCCTCCTTCTCTCTGAGAGTGTTCTGATGGGTTAGAATTCTTCTCTTTCTTTTTCCCCACAGGGAAACTATGTGTCTGCAAGAGCTTATTATGAGAAAGCCTTACAGCTGGTTCCAGACAGCAAACTGCTGAAGGAAAATCTTGCCAAATTGGATCGCCTAGAAAAACGATTGCAAGAAGTTCGAGAAAAGGATCAGACGTAGCACCAGTTGACCCAGTCTCTTGGGATAACGCGGGCGCCTCTGAGAGAGGAAGAAGTGACGGAGGCCTTGCTTGGACATCAGCAGGGCCACAACCAAGGAAGCTTTCTTCTCATTCTGAGTTCAGGGTCGCATATTTCCGGACATCTGCTGGTAATCCAGTGCTGAAGGACTTTCTGTGAAAGAAGACAAAAAGATGCAAGCATGGGCAAGAAGGTCTGAGAGGGAAGGAAAACAACCACACATTTTACAGATTTTTGTTTGGTTTCACTTCAGATTTCCCTTGACGTTTTGCAACTTGGAGATCTAATTCCGTTTCTTTGTTTAGACTTTTATGTCCCAGATATAGAGAAGCTTAAAACGCCAGGAGGGCAGAGCTTCTATTCTCTATGGGATGAGATATTTCAAAAGAGGATAAATCCTCTGGTGTGAGCCATATGGAAAATTCTTCCAAGAATTGGCTCATTTAATTCTCCAGAACCAGAAACGTGTATCTAATAGCTTTTGTAGAATCTTCCAGAATATGTGAGGAAAGGGGCCTATTGTTAAATAGCTTTGTCTTATATCCTTCTAAGGATATTACTAGAGCCCTTTCGAGAAATAAATTCCACTCTGATGCAGTTTTTCCCATTGCCTAATATATCAAAAGGGAAGCTTCTGGCATTATATATGGATATCTTTATCCCTACGGGAAAATCAAGGAACTTGGTACCCCTAATTCTTTATGGAAATGTTTAAAATTATTTTACTTTTATTATAAGTATTACTGGAGTAGTGATTCTACTCAAAAGATTTCAAAAGTGCATTTAAAATCATAAATGTTTCTGCCTCCAAATATATTGTTATTTTGGTGGAGAAAAAAATATAGTATATTCTACATAAAAAAATATTAAAGATATTAACTGAGAGAAATGTCCTACTTTATTATCTTAATGTTGACATCATGAGATTTATTTTTTTGAAAAATATATTTAACAGTGAGGAACCTTTACAGTATATCCCAAAAATCTTCATAGACTCTAACTAGAAGGAAAGAGACTTCTATTTATTGGTCTTTCTGTACTTAAAGAAAACTTTGGGCTTAGAACACGAGTGATTGAAACCCGGAGTTCTTTGCATTGGGGAATGTCAAGGAGAATGCTCTAAAAATTTAGGAAAAAAGTCTAAACTCATAAGTTTAAAAACATATATTTATATTTAAAAGATAGGGAAGGCAAAGTTGAACTCAGAATTTGACATTTATTTTTAGTACATTATTTATTTCATAACTTATAAAATATTTAATATATATACACGCTTCTTTTTCTGTCTGTACACAGTGGTTTTAATAGCAGCTTTCAAAACTGATCTTTTAAAAATATAAATCTAAATTACAAAATAGTTAAGTTTTAACAGTCTTTCCAAAAATTAAAGAAATTTGGGATCAGCCGTCAGTGTTCGGATAGTAATATATTTTGGAAGTGGAGAAATAGGAACACCTGATTCTAATTTGGTTCCCATCATAAACACAAAACCCCTCCAGGCAGTGCTGCTCAGCGCTGAGCCCACAGGGTATCACAGAGTTGGAGTAGCCTGAAGGCATACATATTTCACATGCTCAGGCCAGGGCAAGGTAAAATTAGCTTTCTGCTTCTTTCAGCCCAGAATCAGGAAGCACTACCCCTATATGTTGTTGTTATTTTTTGGTCAAGTCTAAACAGAAGAAAAAACTTTGGAAAGGGATGGTGTAAGAATATTTAAATGCAGACGGATTACAGAATTAGCATGCATCTGTGTGCAACAGTAATGCAATAACCTATACTACCACTGTGACCTTTGTTTCTAACAGTTTGCAGTGTTATATATATCATAAATGTACCCCAAAATCTTAGTTAAGATATTTTCTTCCCTTCCCCCAAAATTATAGTCCTAAAACCAAGAAATAACACTACAGTGTTTATTGTAAAATAACCACCCCACCCTCAAATTGAAAAACAGGAAACCCTAGCTAATAACAATACCTAGGACTTTATCATAACTTTTCAAAATAATCTGAAAACAAAACTCATGCTTAAAAAGTTAATAGAAAAGACTGAGCCCCAAATTTTGAACAGCAATTAATGCCTTACCTCAATTGCTGCTTAAGGTAGGAGAGTACCTTTATTTGTTGGAATAATTGAAATGGCAATTTCAGCCTAAAAGTTTTGAGGGAAATGGGTCACATGGCCTTCAGGAAATTTTCTCTGCCTTCTTTTAGGTGCTTTTCTATCTCTCCCCATCTCCCTTACCTTTCCCTCTCTCCTTCCGTCTCTCTTTCTCTCACTTTGTCACCCTCATTCTGTCTGCATCTCTTTGAACATTAAAAGTGAGCACTGTTTTTAAAAGAAGTAAGTATTGTTTGTTGGATTAGATATTCTCACCCCGAGTTAATCCCTTCACCAAGGTGTGGCCAATGAACTATTTATCGTTTTCACATTTAAAATAATGCCTATGAGAAAATAAATCACATACTATCTTTCAAAGATATTAAATGTATTTTGTAACTATTTTTATTTGGTCCTTGTAACATGAAATAATAAGTAGAATCCATCCTTATCAAAATAAAATGGGGCCGGGCGTGGTGGCTCACGCCTGTAATCCTAGCACTCTGGGAGGCCGAGGCAGGCAGATTGTTTGAGGTCAGGAGTTCAAAACCAGCCTGAGCAAGAGCAAGACCCCGTCTCTTACTATAAATAGAAAGAAATTAATTGGCCAACTAATATATATAGAAAAAATTAGCCCGGCATGGTGGTGCATGCCTGTAGTCCCAGCTACTCGGGAGGCTAAGGCAGAAGGATTGCTTGAGCCCAGGAGTTTGAGGTTGCTGTGAGCTAGGCTGATGCCACGGCACTCACTATAGCCTGGGCAACAAAGCGAGACTGTGTCTCAAAAAAATAAATAAATAAAATGAAGTGTCCTGGCTAGCCATGGAGGTGCATCCAGTTTGCCCTTACTGAAAGCATACTTGCCACGAGAAACGATAGCACCTTTTTGAATTGGAGGAGCAGCACTTGCTTCATACGTGTGTGATGCTTACTATCCCATGGCATGCTACACTCAGAAGCACCCCAAACTTAGTTGAATACTCTGCTTGAAGTTCTTCATAATTTTTGAACACAGGGCCACAATTTCATTTTGTACTGGGTTCCCAAACACAAGTCCTGAATAGGAAGCAAAGTGGCTAAGGACATGATTAGGAGTTGCTTTGGCCTGGCTGAACATTTGATCCAATGATCAGAGTTTCATTTGGCACTGTGACCCTGAGCAGCATTTGCTATCCTCAGCTACATTTAGAAACATATACATGTTTCTAAATAAATATATCATGTACATATCTCCCCTCTTCTCCCAGCCCATCTAACTAGTACTTCCATCCTACCTAGAATCAGGTCTCCTCGCCTTCAAAATCCCAATAAGTGGCAGTCCCTTAACATGTCCTTTGACATAGAAGCTATGAGAATGGCTTTAGCAGCTTATTTGAACCTTACAAGTTTTTCATTCAGGATTTTTACAAAATGACTCAGATGTTTTCAATCTATTAACATAGTCATAAAACATGGTTCAATGATATAACATAAGTGAATTAAGCCAAAGATGCAAATACCTTGGAGGAAAAGAAATTTTATTTTAGGGAATCCTGAAATACATTCTTTTGGGTTTGTTTGTGATGAAGCCTGTCACAGAACAAAGAGGATTGTCAGCACTTTAATAATTCCAGCTCCCTGCAGTACTTCACAACCCTTAGTATAAGCTTCCGAAATTTGTAATAGAGGGTACCTAGTTGGATGCAGGGTCTTGCAGTGATTGTGCAAATGTTTCTGTGCAACTACTTTTCTGCCAGACCAAATAAGAAAATCCAAACATCCTATACAAACTGACCTATGATAACTGTAATTTAAGGGGGAATAAAAAGCAAACGTGTGGTTTCTTATTTTCACTGTTACACATGACAGGTCCCTCAGATTTAAGAGCCACATTCAGCTGATAGTTGAGATATGTCCCTCACATATAGTGGCTCTCAACACTGGCTGCACTTAAGAATCACCTGGGGACCTTTCAAAATCTTTAATACCTAGCTGTCCAGGTAATGATTCTAATGTGCAGCTAGAATTCTCTAGAACCACTACAGGGATGACAACTTTAATGAGAGTTTGTAGCTTTTACAAAAGAGATGTTTATAATCTTTTGCAATTTTTACCTTTAAATCTAGAATAAAATGAGCCAAAGAATTCTATAGAATGATTTATGGAGCAATTGGTTGATTGATGCTGTCATTGACAGCATCAATGACAAGATTGACAACAAGATTGACAAACATGGTTATATGGGGTGGATTTGCACATGTGGCAATTGGACTACAATTTGGCCTTACATTTACAGAATTCTTGGTTCTCAGATGGAGAGGAATTGCCTTGAAATTTGCATGCACCAGACAAAGTGCCCAGAATATAAAACTGATATTTTTATGACTAATAGAAGGTATCCTCAGCATAGAGTTTATACCTACATCTGTGTCTCTCTTTCTTTTGGGCACATACATATGCTTTTGTTAATTATTTCTTAATTGTAATTGCTAAACTAATTGTGTTAGTTTTGGGGGAAAAACACAGAGACTTTTGCTTTGATTTGTGGTAGATTCACCCCTTTAGAATAATAAGTAATGACATTCAAAGCAAATACAGCTAGAGGTGATTTGTTTGTTTTTTAATTTTTTGTCCTGGTTTCTAAATCACATTTACTTAGATTTGATTGTATGTTGATATCTCCCAAATATAGCAAAACTTAACTATCTAAATGCCATCTTTTGACATTTAAGAAGAGTAAATACCTGTCAAATCCTGAATTTAGACTGTAGTTGAATAAGGTAAAAGCGTAGGATTCCAAAACATGATATAGGGGAATATTTTAATTTATGATTATTCTTGAAGTTTTTGATGCACAAGAAAAGTATGTTGAATAGTCCTTCCAAAAATAGCATTTCCCTGTATATTTTTGTTTCTAATAGCCATGTAATTTAAAGAAAAGAGATAAAATAACTGCAATCACAAATGTGGTTTAACATCAATGAAAATAGCACAGCAGAAATGATATTTGTAACAATCTATTGGCTCATATTAAAATGTTCTATTTTTTCCACCAATGATCTTTCCAATTAAAACCATTAGGGCATGTAACTCATAAAATCAGCATCCATCACAATATATAGTCATTTCAGTTTATAAGTTTATATCACCATTGACTACCAACTGAAAAGAGATGTCCACATCTAGAAATCCAGGAGTTTCTTCACATTCTCAGTGCTGCACATGGTGTATATTTGTATCACGCTTGGTAGATACAATGTGTGTAATGTCCTTTTGGGTTTATTTATCTTGCTGGTCCATAGAAAGGGTACACTAGTCCAAGAATCAAGACATCTGAATTCTAGTTCTAGCTCTGCCACAAAGGGGCCACCTCACCTGGGGCAAGTTAGCCGAAGTCTCAGTCATGTTTGCCACCCATCAAAGGACTGGTCAGCCTGGTGGTTCCATTAAGCTCTTTGAGCCTCTGCAATGTTTACTCTTGAATCTGGATTTAAAAGCACTATGTATCTGATGAGATAACAGATAAATATTACCCTTTGTTTTAATGATTTTTTAAGATAATCGTAATCACTGCAACAAAACACATAGACAAATAAACCTAAAAGTGACTGAATTTCCCAAGTGCTTGAACATGGCAGAGGTAATTACTCCTATGTTATAGTCTGTGCACTTAAAAACATTTTACAGTGATTATTACTTTACTAGGGAAAAAAGATAAGATAAAACTTCCTCGTAAGGAATTAAAATACCGGTAGGAGCCATGGCTTGCTTTTATAACATGGAAATCATTTGATTTGCTGCAACTCAACACAGATCCCTCCTTTTGTCAGGAGGAAATGACTTGCATCATGTTCTTTGTTCATAATGCTTTTATTTCCTAATTTGATCAGTTGTATAGAAATGTACAATTTTTTGTTACTTTTTGCTGTGCCAGTTAGAAAACTTTCTCCCATAAAGTATTTCGCCCATTAAGTCTGACTATGTATACTTTGCCCAGGTCTTTCCAAAATGAAATTTATGTAAATGTCTATTTTATATAAAATATGATGAAAATAAGTATGTCTGGTTTCAATCTCTCAAGTATTGTGTGGTTAGCACCTGTTGACATCCAAGTCATCTTCCTTCCTTCCCTCCTTCCTTCATTTACTCATCACATGCTTCTGCATGCTTCCTGTCTGCTCTTTCCCTTACACCACACAATTCCTGTTTCAGTACTTACCTGCTCCAGATCAGATACCTTCACCTCTTTCTTTACAGAGTAAATGAAAGGTAAAAAACAAGTGTTCCCTCCATATTCTGCACTCCATCTGTAAATGCACCGGCACTCAATTCTATCCTTTCTTTTCTTGTATTGCCACAATGGAAGATGAGAGGGGGTCTTAGGCTCTGGATTTTGCCTCTTGTGAGACTTCACTCCATTCAGTAACTTCTCTTTCTCGTCTTTTTACATCTTCCTTTTACTTCTTCCTTTTGATCTTATCAATTTGTCAGTTTCTCTCTGTCTTAAAAGACATACATAAGTAATCACCATCAAAACCATGTGGGGGGAAGAAATCCCCTATGATTCTATGTCATCTCTAACTGCTATCACCTCTCTTTCTGTCCTTTACAGCCAAGCTTTTTGAATAGCAGTTTGCCATTGTCCTACACTAGTGCAGACATGTCCAAATTAAAGACAGATTTGCCATATATCACAAATCCTCTCCAGGGTAACCCGCTCACTCCCCTCCCTGAGAATCTTTTCTAAAGTTAAAATATAAGTCCACTACAAATTCTGGCTTTATTCCTCTCCCAAACTAAAGCTAACTTAATTCCAAACTAATACTTATTGGGGGGAGGGGAATGCTGACATGATCATCTTACCAATGAATTAAGTTTAATAATCTTACATGATGGATTGGCCATCAGCTGTGGGCCATTCTGCTGAAGCCCAGGACAATACTGCCACCTAGAAAAGCTTGACAGCATTACCTGATTTTTTCCTACCTACTCTATTGCCAAACTCTCCAGGGTTGAGGGCTTTAAACAGCTCCTTAGAAGAGGCAGTACTGTGTTCAGTGTTAATGAGTCTCCCTGCGCCTTTCGGAAGTGTTCCTGCCTGCGCCTGGCTTGGAGCACCAGCCTCATTGTCCCTGGGCGTGGGTCACGCTCCCTGGTCTGGGGCAGCATTCCCTAGGCTAAGGTTCTAGGCCACTGATCGCAGTGCTCCCCCCGCCCTGGATCTGTCTGTGGGGACCTCTCCACGTGTGTGAGCGGCCCCCCAGCCACTGGGGCACCTCGCGCCTGTCTCCAGGGCCCTAGGGCAGGACACCAAGGCTCTCTGACGCCAGGGGTGGCCAGAGAGCCGCAGCAGCGGTTCAGAATGATCCTGAAGAGGAACACCTGCGAGCCCAGGCACCCAGGCAGGTGCAGCCCATCGGAGGGAGAGAATAAAGGGCGCGGCCAGGCCCACCTTCCTCACATTGTGGTCACGGACTTCGGGTAGGGAGGACGTGCCATATCCGGTGCGTTGGGGCCATGAGCACGCCGGTCGGGACTGGTTTGTTGCTGTTGCTTGTCATCGTCATCGGCTTGTCCCCAAGCCTAGGTGAGCCCAGGCCACTCAGCACCAGGGCTGTGGGGGTGGCTGAGCGTGCTGGGGAGGGAAGACTTCCTTCCTCCTTACCCCAGGACTGGGGGGTGGGTGGAGCAGCCACACATGACACACCTGAAAAGAAAGGGTGAGGGGGAAATGATATGAGCCCAAACGTTCCCAAAGGGAGGCCTAGGCCGGGTGTCCTTTCTGAAATGTCTTGGACTTCTAGTGTTTAGGCACATGTCCTAACCATGTTTGTGCTAAGGAGTTTCCTCTGAAGAAACATAACCTAGTATAAGTAACTTAAAGCCAAATATCCCTCTTCCAGAGTAGCATACGTTGTTCCCGGTATCTTTAATACACCATAAATTTTGCAAAGCGCATCCTCCCAGAGTGAGCCCCAAAGCAACCACCAGAGGCAGAGCTGGCGCCTTCCTGCCCCAGGTCTTCCCTTGTTATGGTAGCTCAGCCGGAGGGCAAGCTCTAGTCACCCCGGGATGGCTGGGAGATATTCTGAGGAAAATACTAAGAAAAGGGGTTAGCCTATAGCTGAGTGATAGCAGAACATCTCTGCCAGTCCAGGGAAATCTGGATATGAAATCCTGATACACTGAACTCTTAGTAAGGCTATGTGTGTGAGCACACACGCACGTGCTCTTCTCACAGGACTGAGGTGTGGACTCCGTGCAGTTGATTTGGAAAGCAAGCAACCTGCGGTGGAATCTGGGTGCTTCTCCAGAATTATTAGCTGGAGAAATTCAAGAGTGGGTGGCCATCCATGGCAGGTCAGTACAACAGACTTTGATTTCTGAATGAGCAAATGGTGAGCTATTACTATTTCCTGTTTCAAAAATATGAAGAGTCTGGGTTAATAGGTAGTTTTTCTCCTGGCTTCTATCTCTGTACCAAAAAAGTTTACATTATTGGGAATTATCTTACTATCCAATTTATGTCAGTATTTTAAGAATATAGTAAGAATTATCTTACTATCCAATTTATGTCAGATTAGAAGAGTTAATCTCAAATGTTTCTGAGATATGTATTAGTTGTGCTTGTAACTTTCTTCTTGGGCAGGTCTCCCTAAAGTTAGGTGAGCACCACTTGTGTGGAGGAAGTTTGATTCAAGATGATCAGGTGGTTACGGCAGCACACTGCCTGGCTAGCCTCAGTGAGTAAGTTGTGGTTTTCCATTATTTATCCAACCTTGATTTATGGGACTGGGAGATTCGATGCTCTAAATATCATGCAAGGTTCCATCTCAGTCCCTTTCTTAATTGTGCCACCTAGTGTACCCACCCACTGACCTTCCTGATTCCCAGAAACTTGTGTTTTTCCCAAGATTTCCAGCACTTCCTGCTCTACTAAATAGAGAATCTCTCAGAGATCTCAGACAGCCTCTGTAATTTGTGGATTGTGGATTTAGCAGTTGGGTGTAGGGGTAGTGGTTACTTATAATAATAAAATATTAACACTGAATGTTAAATGTGTGCTCCAAAGTTTTAATCATCTGAGTTTAAGTCTTTAGAGAGGGGAAAAAACCTGCAGAAATAGGAAATACTTGACCAGATTAAAAGAGGATACTAGTAAGAGAAATGGAGGGACAGTTCTAGAAGCTAACTTTTATATCTTGTTAAAAATGGTATAGCATGTATAGACCATGGTTTGTGCACAAAAGAAGAAATGGAAGCAACATTTAAATACTTTAGAAAGACAATTGATAGTAGATGAAAGTGTTCACAAGAATGTAAACAAACATTCTGTGACTGAAAACCATGACTTTTTATAGATCAAAAAATGGGAAATTATGGCCCTTGGTAATTCAATAATAAAGAAACATCTTCTGGAAAGGCTTGGAAAGGCTTAAAAGTAACTTAATAACTTTTATTTAATCACATAGAACCAAGAAGTCTTTCCTAGAAGAAATCGCTACTTATTGGAACATTTCTTTTTTGATTGTAGGAAGCAACTTAAGAGTCTAACTGTGACTTCTGGAGAGTACAGCCTGCTTCAGAAGGATAATCAAGAACAGAATATTCCTGTCTCAAAAATTATTATCCATCCTGAATACAACAGGCTTGGATATATGAGTGCTGATATTGCACTGCTGTATCTAAAACACAAAGTGAAGTTTGGTAAGTAGGGAGAGTCAGAATATAAAAATGCAATGGAGAAAACTGCTAATTATGCCCAAGTTAACTTTAATATCTATGTGATGTCTAGTAACAGAATAGCTAAGATTTATTTTTAAAACATTATAACCTATAAAAATAGAACTGTGCAGACTAGGAGCTCTAGTCACAAATTATGTATGCTTAACCTACCAGTCAGCATTTTAAGACACTCCTGTGTCTTGGCTGGCTACATTCTAGACCATCTACTCATATTCAGCTCTAACCAATGAGTTTGGGATTTTTTGAAAATATTTTCAGAGGCTTTTCCTTTCTGTCATTGTTATAGATTAGATGCCCAATACTGTCTCAGCACAGATAACCTAAACATTCTGGATAAAATATTAAATACCTTTTTTTTTTTTTTTTTTTTGATGCAAGTAAAGGAAGTGTTCATTAGCCAAAAACAATAAAAGAACACAATTCCAGAGGAGTTAGCCACTGCAGCAGGCCACTGCCCTTGAGGCATTTAATTGATCTTTAAGATCTTAGAGATTTAGCTGACCATGTGAGGAGCTACAGAGAACTCAGGATTTAGTGAAAGGTGATGCCATGAAAGCTGGAGAAAAACAAGGAATGGGGGGGTGGGGGACAGGTGGTGGAATATGTCACAGAAAGTGAAGGAATAAGGAAACTTATTCTGAACCTTGGCTCTGGGCAGAGGGTTCTCAGGAGAATCTGTAATCACGAGCCAGCCCTTGTTGAGGTTTGCTGGAATTGACATTGCCTGTGGCCCCAAAACTCCAAGGGCAAGATCTTAGTTTAAAGTGGTTCCAGGTGAGTAATCAGAGCTTCTGGCAGAAGCAAAAGTAAATCTTTTCTAAAGAAATAAACCTTAAATCCCAGCCTCAGTGTATCCCCATAAAGGTTTAATGACCGTGAGCACACAAACACGCAGTGATATTTGCCATCAAAGACAGTCAGAAACATTTAACAACCAGAATCAGACCTTCGAAGATTACAGGTGTCAAAATGAGATACAGCATGAGAAATAAGCATGTTTTACTTAGGTTTAAAGAAGTAGAAGTGTATCAAAAAATAACTGAAGGATAGGAAACTGCTATATGGAAGAGAAGATTTGAAAAGGAGCCAATAAAACATGTAGATATAAAAATGTAATTGAAATTAGAAACTCAAGGATTATCCACCAGATTACATATAGGGAACTGGACAAATCTGAAATAATTAGAAGAGACAGAGGGTCAGAGACATGGAGAAAAGAAACTGAAAAAATATTGTAAACCTTCAATTTGAACTTAAAAATGAATATGGATAATGAAGGAGAGCGGATATAATGTAAGAGAATGTGGCTGGGGGTTAACCATAATTGGCAAGACACAAATCTTTAGATTTAAAAAGACCAGTAACTCCAACTATGTTACAAAAAAATAACTTGATACCTAGGCATGTGCTGAAAATACGGCACCCTAAAAACAGTGGCTCTCAAAAGAATCTAGAGGGGGAAAAAAAAGCAGATTACTGAAAAAATAAATGAAAATTAGAGTGGCAGCTGATTTCTCAATAGCAGTGCATGAAAGTCAGAAGACAAAACAAGATCATCAAAATCCTGAGAATAACTCAAACTAGAATTACATGTATTGTAGGAAGCTATTGCCCCATTTATTTCTTTCCTTTATAGAAAAACTCTGTGAAAAGCCATCTGTGCCAATTACGTCAATTTCCTCGATTCTCATAATTAGATGTATTATAGATTAAGATGTCTGTTAGGCATCCAAGTTGATCAGATTTTCACTGCGCCACCAAATTTGCTCTTGGCAAAGTCACAAATGGTCTCTGTGTTGCTGAATTCAAAGGTAAATTCTCAATTCTCGTCTTTCTTGATAGGAGTTTTTTCGCAGATTTTGCTTACTGTCTTCCTGGAACTATTTTCTTCATTTGAATTCCAGGAACCTGTTGTTTTTCCTCCTACCCCTTTGCAGCCTGTCTTAGTTCTGTGATGAGGCCTCCTCTTCCCCTTGCCCTCCTCTTGTTGGAGCACCCCAGTTAGTTTTGGGGGGAAAAAGCCCTGGGCTTTTAAATAAAATGGGCCTGGGCCATTTTATTCTCTGTTTGTGTCCAGTCCCTCAGTGATCTCATCCAGAATCAAAGCTTTCAACACCATCTCCTTGACGACTACTCCAAATTTCATGCATCTAGCGCAGGTTTCTTTATGTTACATATGTGTCTGGAAAGAATGGGGTTCATATAACCAACTGCCATTCTGGATGGCTAACTGGCACCTTAAACTTAATATGTTTAAAATAGAATCCTGTTTGGCCCCTGAGTCCCACACATGCTTACCCTTCATCTCAATGACAACTCCTTCCTTCCAATTGTTTAAGCTAAAAACGTTGGACTAATCTTTGATCTTTCTCTGACACTGTACATCCAGTGCATCAGAAAATCCTGTTGCTTCTGCCTCAAGCGACTTTGCTCTTCTACCATCCTGTTCCAGGCCACACTACCATCATTTCTTACCTGTGTTAATTTTAAGAGTCCCTGAAACTGTCTTAAGCTGTTGTTTCTTCATCCCTAATTATTATTAAGCCAGCAGCCAGAATAATATGTCTTAAAACGTAAATCAAATTGCCACTCTGTTCAAACCACTTCGATGGTTCCCCATTATACTCAGATGAAAATGGTGTCATCATCTGACCTCTCCTTCCTCCCAGTCCTACATCTCACCTCTGCTTTGTTTTTCACTCAACTTCTTTTTGCTTAAATCCACTCCAGCCATCTTGGCCTCCCCACTGTTCCCAGACATATGCACAGGGTCCTGCTGCAAGGACTTTCCATCCTTTATCTCCATCAAATGCTTTTAGCCCAAACAACCACATGATTCCTTCCCTCAGCTTCCTTTGCTCAAATGTCATCTATTCAATGAAACTTGCCATGACACACCATGTTTAAAACTATTGCTCCCATGCCATCTTCCCTAATCTCCAGACTTCTTGTCTGTATCCTACCCTGATTTTTCCAGAGCATGTATAATCCAACCACTAAATAATTATATTTATTGTTTATATCTCCACCACACATACACACACTCACTTTCTCATGTATAGGCTCTACCACAGCAGAGGTATTTTTTTTTCCTGCTTATTCATTGAGTCCTGGAAGAGTGCTTGTCACATAGCAGTGCTCAGCAACTAGTGAATGAAAATCTATCCTTTCAGAACAAAAGCATATTCTAAAATGTTAGTAGATTAGGGGACTTGTGGTGTGCAGAACAATGGGTGATATTTTTCTTTGTTTTACTTTTTCTGCATTTTTATAAATTTCTATAAGTATGACATAGTTTTATTTGAGGGGAAAAACTTACAATAGCTCACCATTATACTTAGGATGAAAAGTATAGAAGCCATGAAATCAACAGATGTCACTTCTTCAGATATATTCAACATCACTTGTCTATCCACAAACTTCATGACTTTCTTTGTTGTTTTTTTCAGGAACTGCTGTTAAACCAATCTGTCTTCCCAACAGAGATGATAAACTTAAAGCAGGGATTCTTTGCATGGCCAGTGGATGGGGCAAGATTTCAGAGAGTAAGAGGCATTAAAAAGTATATAATACTTCTTCCAGGACTCTGCTTCTAGGAGAAGCAGAAATAATTTTGTTGACCATAAGTAATAAGTTTATCCTTTCTTTACTTCCTAATTTCTAACCTAGTGAAGATTTCTGGTTGTCTCCACTATAGAAAAGTCTTACACTGTTTAAGACTGTTTATATCACTCCTGCCCTTTTGTTTAGAGATGTTAGATAAAGGAAACTGGATGTAACTATGAGAGATGAGGAGGAATATGGTAAAAGGATAATCAGGAAATAGTAACAATAGTTAAGCTTCCTTGTCTTTTAATATTGTGACTTTTAAAAAATTCAAACTCTTAGAAACAAAAAGCAGAAGGGTAAGATTACCAGGGATTTGGGAGTGGGGGAAATGTCAGTCAAGGGGAGATGTTAGTCAGGGAGCACAAACTTGCAATTATACAACAAATAAGCTCTGGAGACCTAAGATACAGCATGCTGATTATAGTTACTAATATTGTACTATATACCTGAAATTTACTAAGATTTTAAGTATTCTCACCACAAAAAAGTTAACTATGTGAGGTGATATGTTAACTAGCTCAATTGTGATAATCGCAATATATATGTATATCAAAATATCATATACCTTGAATATATATAATTTTTATTTGTCAATTATACCTCAAAGCTTGAAAAGATATATTGTGACTTTTTTAATAAAGAATTTTATAAAACATTGCTTTATTGACTAAAGTTTTCCTCTAGGGGAAACATATAAGCATGTATTCAGAGAAGCCACAATTTCCTGTGTTATCTTAAAAATCTGAATTTTTAAAAAGTGTCCTTTATCACATATATGATTTTTAGAAGTGAACGCAATTCATATCTAAAAAAAAAAAATGACTTCTACTTTTGGTTAAAGATCTGTTTGAGATAAGAAACCTACAAGTTTAAAAGTGTTTCAAGAGGACAATTGTTGACTTATCAGTCCTTTCTCTATAGCATCAGAATATTCAAATGTCCTACAAGAAGTGGAACTTCCCGTCATGGATGACAGAACGTGTAATACTATGCTCAAGAGTATGAACCTCCCTCCTCTGGAAAGGACCATGATGTGTGCTGGTTTTCCTGGTGGGGGAATGGCTGCCTGCCAGGTACAAAAGTATAGACCAGCCCAGTTGTTCAGTAATGTGGGTGAAAGTGGATTCTGTCTTTCCCCCATGAGCTCCTTTTGGGAAGCTACTGTGTCAAATTCCTTTTCCTCTGAACCTTCCATCTAGCTTCCACCAAAAAACTGTAGCTGAGCTGAGAAAATTCTTGCCTGTTGCTATTCTCATTCCTCTTCCTACATCTGTTTTATTTTGGGTTGGGGGCAGGGGTTAGTTTCAAATTGTCCAGACTGATGGAATTAAGCAAGATAAGACCACTTCAACAGTCCTATTAGATCCAGCTATGAACTAATTCTTGATTCCACATTTTGTTAACTATTATAATTTTGTTTCCTTTAGTGAAGAATATGGTCACACAAAGTTTGACCAAAGACACATGGCTTTAGTAACTGTTGGGTAAGAGATGTTGTGAATGACAGTGACCTTCCAAGACTGACATAAAAAGTTCACAAAGAACACCCATCTTCATATAGAAGGGAAAGAGAGACCAACCTGTGAAAGACACAAGTCTTGAGTTTTAGATAGGTCTTCCAAATAAATTATTTTCTTTATAATTTATTATAAATTAAAAAGCAGCAGGGAACAGCAGGGAGTCATTCTTCTTTACCAGAAAGTGGCTTGACACTGTTGTGGAAAGCTCCCTGAAATTGTCTCTTGGAACAATTTCTAAGTTTTTCTTCAAGGGAGTGACAGGAGGAGTTTGGGAGGCAGGAGACAGAATCTTACACTTATGCCACTTTCTAAACTGGAACACAGATAAGCTAAAGGTGCTTTGTGCTATCTGCACCCATTATAGGCAATTCTTATTTTGGACAAAGTCCTCAAGAAAACAATTCTGCACCTTTTGAGGAGAAGTCAATCTGACACAAGATTGTCTGAAACGCATTCTCAAAGCAGCATATATTCTAGAACGTTATTGAAGACAGGATCCTAAAATATTGGATTCTTTATTCTCTAGCATGGGAGCCAATGGGAGCCTTTACATATACTCCCTGGGACAAAATTAAGTTTCCCAGCCTTTCTGTTTTTAAGGACTTGAGGCCTTAGAACAACCTTGAGGGCTCTATTCACTGGTGCTATAGGCTTGGGAGGTGACCTAGTCTTCCCCAGCAATTCCAGGTGACAAGCTCCAGTGGAACCATACATCTATAACCACGCCCCCTTCTTCTACCGTTTTTTGAAATGAACATGGCAATTCCAAAAAAAGAGAAAAATTGAGCATTAGCCTGACAAGATAGATTGTAACTGGTAGGTGCAAAGAGATTACATCTGGATGCAATGATTGTGCTTTGAAGCTAATGATGAGGTAACAAAATGGAGGAACAACAAGTTTGACAATGACTAGTGGACTTCTGTGCCTCTACCTCTTCTCACTTTGAGATGAGTGCTGATGTTTGTGAAACTGATGAAATATTTTGTCTTGTGGCTATTTTTAAAATTTTCTCTCTTCTGTACTATGAAAGCGGGACTCTGGAGGACCCCTGGTGTGTAGAAGAGGTGGTGGAATCTGGACTCTTGCTGGGATAACTTCCTGGGTAGCTGGTTGTGCCAGAGGTTCAGCTCCTCTAAGAAATCACCATAGGAAGGTGTCACTTGGCGTTTTCTCCAACGTGTTGGAGTTGATGGATTTTATCACTCAAAACATGACCACAGGTGGGCGAATTCTTCCTTCTCATTTCATTGTACAACAAAAACTGATCATGCCTATCTCAGGGGTAGTCACTCTGTGCTGTAGTAAAATTAGAACTAAGCTTTAGAACAAAGCAAGAGTATGGCTGCTTTTAAGTTCTACTAAGACTACCAATGTATATATAAATTTGTCTGAATTCCTGAGCACTGATGCCTATAGCTTGAACAAACCAAATCCCTGTGTAAAATTTTCATGTCTTTTTGGAATATGAGACTTTATAAACAGACCTGGAGAACATTCATCAGGGCATTCTTCATTTTCTCAGTTGACATTTTTTTCTCTATACTACTTAAAAATACTAAAAATAACTCCTCTCCCACCTTGCCCATTCTGCCTTATTCATTTTAATTGGCAACAGTGGTAAAAAATGAGGGAGGCTTTGGAGAGTTAATTTGGTTTTGTGGCACTAAAATCTAGATTAGCAAAATTTGGGTCTGGAGATGCCAAGCTTGTCCTCAGGGAACTTTCTAATTATTCAGAATGTTGCCATGAAACATTTGCTTCTGTACCTTCTGCAGAAGCAAATGAAACACCAGGCAGCCTCTGCAGAATGAAGCAGCATGAGAAAACACAACTTCCAGAACAAGTTGTGTTCTGTAGGAACCAAATTGATAGCACCCAGAGCCCCAGAACATGGCATGCTCTCTGTCGCTCTCTCCCTGTAGTCTGAGTTCAGCCACCTCTAGCCGAGGGTGAGAAGCGACACCACTACTGTTGGTCCAGGTGCAGGCTGGCTCTGCCTCAGATGACAGCAGACTCCCACCTCACTTTTCTTTGGTCTTAGGCCTGGAAGTCCTGTGTTCATTGCTGTACTGCAGGGGAGTGTGGGTAGGGGGACATTCTCTCCAGGTAGCAATTGCATTCTATTTTGATCACCTAGAGGAGAAGGTCCACAGGGCTAATGAGCCCTGAACAAAGGTTAATGGTAACAACAAGATTTTAAAAGGGCAATGAAATCAGGCAATAAGAGTTAGTTCCACAGACAAATGAACATCAGAATGTGACAAGTAATTTATTTAAGTAACACTTCCTTAGGATCATCTTTCTAAGCTTAACCCCCTTTATTTGCTTGTTTCTACCCATCTTCCCTCATCGTTCCCTATAACTGGCTGTGCTTTGGAAATAGGCTTAAACAAAGCTTTCTTACCCCTTAAAAATCAGATGAATTGAATATTTCACTTCTTAACTTTAAAACCACCCTAACCATGAAATCCAACTAATTTATGCTTGCATGTAGCCCTTTAGCCTATTTTTAAAGACATGGTAGACCCCTGACTCTGAGAAGAGGTCCCCTCTGAATTGATTTTTTTAGTAGAAGTTACAGTCCTTAATATTAATGTCACGTTGTCAAAACTGCCATTTAAATGATTGTTTTAATGTTATTTATTGTTGGGAAAGGCATTAACTGTTTACGCCCTGTACAGATTTGGCTCGGGGAAAACCCTTCTCAAGAATGAGTCGAAGGAGCATGACAAAGGGCCTGAGTTCTGTCCGAGGCATGCGTGGAAGCCGGAGAGGAAAGGGTATGTGTGGTCCTGCTTATCTAGGTGGGAAGCTGACTTGGGAGCCGTCATCAAGAGAAGGCAAATAGAAGGAGTGGACCATATTTATAATCTGAATTTTATTTGAGTTGTGAATGTCAACTTTAAAACGCCCTGTTCATATTCATACACAGAGCTTCCAACAGCTTAAAACCTGACACTGGCAACTGAAATTTTTGAGTGAATAGAGACTTGCCATGCCATTGCTAAACAGTGCATGTGTTTACTTTAATGCCTTTATACAAAGGTATTTTAGCATTACCCAGGATATCCTAGAAAGAGATGGGAAAGTTGGATAAATGTTAAACCTGAAGAATTTTTTTTAAAAAAAAGCATTGTGATTCAGAAATTTTCTTAAGTTTGTCTGTAAATACAATGTGTAAATCATAGCCTTTAAAAACATTTGCATTCTCACAAATATCAATTATATGAATATAAATTGTACAGCTTCAGGCTGACCTCCATATCTTTTTGAAATGTTGCCCATGGGTGAGGCAAATGATGAACTACTTTCCCCTTTTTTTGAAGATTGCAAACCTCAGGTGACAGTGTCATTTGGAGAAAGTGGGAAGATTCGTTGCCCCTATTCCAAAAAAGACAACTATTCTCATAATTGGTATGTATCCTAAATAGGAATGATTCCTGGCCTTTTCACCCCCACCACCAAAATCAGGCAATTAAAGGACTATATTTTGGCAACTTTGTCTAGTATCTCAAATCCCTTATCTGATTAATATAAAAGCATATATTTCCTCTGATGTTTTTTGGTTGGTGAATATTTACTAATTGGTATTCCTGATGCTCATCAATATAAATAAAGAACCTGAGTAGTATCAAGATTAAAACTTACCTGCATTGATGTATTCAATATCTATATTAACAGCATCTGGTAATGAGATTGCTATGGGAATAGCGATTAATACTGTCACATAATTATTTCTATAATATGTGGTTAAGTATCACCTAGTAATATGAAAGTAGTTCATGCTTTATAAGCTTTAGTATCTTTTTTACAAATTTTCTACATATTCTCTCCTTTGTATGGCTAAAAAATCTTGAAGCTTTAGAAATTGGTTTTTGCAAGTATCTCATTTCTTAAGTGATCTAAATTCATTTTAAAAATTGTATTGAAAATCAGGCAAGTGTGGTGGTGTGTGCATGTAGTCCCAGCTACCCAGGAGACTGAGGTGGGAGGGTTGCTTGAGTCCAAGAGTTCAAGGCTGTGGTGAGCTATGATTGCACCACTGTACTCCAGCCTGGGTGACAGAGCAAGACCTCATCTCTTTAAAAAAAAAAAAAAAAAAAAAAAGCCGGGCGCGGTGGCTCACGCCTGGAATCCTAGCTCTCTGGGAGGCTGAGGTGGGCAGATTGCTCGAGCTCAGGCATTTGAAACCAACCTGAGCAAGAGCGAGACCCCGTCTCTACTATAAATAGAAAGAAATTAATTGGCCAACTAATATATATAGAAAAAATTAGCCGGGCATAGTGGCGCATGCCTGTAGTCTCAGCTACTCGGGAGGCTGAGGCAGCAGGATTGCTTGAGCCCAGGAGATTGAGGTTGCTGTGAGCTAGGCTGACGCCACGGCACTCACTCTAGCCTGGGCAACAAAGGGAGACTCTGTCTCAAAAAAAAAAAAAAAAAAAAAAAAAAAAATTAGCACTGAATGGTGTACTATACAGGTAGATGACAGTTCTGAGTTTATAATCTGGTAGGAAGAGAGAGCTAGACAAAAATAACTATACTACAAAATAGGATGAAATACACTTTATAATCCATACTATCTAAGTATGTTGGTACTCTGAACAATGGAGACTAATTCTCCCTGGAGTGGTTTGTCAGGTGTGTGGATAGAGTGGTTGTAAGGTGAGAGAGGGGATAAGAATGCTTTAGTGAAAGAGACGGCATTGAAACTAGGCATTGAAAGATAGTTCTGATTTTATAGTTCATGCGGTCTTTTGTAGCTCTAATATCTAAAACTTCAACAGAGACAAAGGAAGAGGTCATTGTAAGCAGAGGAAATGATGTATAAGTAATGTCAAGGAGGTGGGAAAAGTCGGGGTTGGCTGGGTCATGAGCATCCCAGTGTGGCTGGAGAGCCATGGAAATGGGAACTGGGGTCACAGTGGACAGTAAGGATAGGAAGGATGGCCAGGACTTAATTGCAGAGGACCTTGAATTGCATGCAAAGGAGTTTAGCCTTTCTGCCGTAGGCAATGGGAAGCTAAAATGATGGAGGGATTATAATTTATAAAACTAATATAAATTGAATGAAAATATGTATTTCAAGTGTGGGATGGGAAAAATGTGGCTTAATTGCAGCCCGTATTTGAAAGGCTTGAGGGTCTAAACTGACTTTTTCAACCTTGTGATAATAGGATCCCAATAAAGCTTTTGCCCTCTTTGCTTTTAAACTATCAGAAGAATAACAACCAGTGAGAGTCCCAGAGTGAGGAGGCCTTTAGGTATAATCTTTAGATGGGAATAAGCTGGAATTTATCTTATGGACAATGACTAAGATGTAAAGAAATACAAAACAATGTTTTAGGAGGTGTTGTTGAAGAAACCAGGAATATTTTTTGTCCAAAAAGACTGAAGAGGAGGAAGGAACTGTTTCAATTATCTCAGGGGCTACTAAAGAAGCAGAATTGGACTTATTTTGATTAATTGCAGAACTGAGAACCAGGATTGCTGAGTAGAAGTTACCAGAAAGCAGATTTCAATCAAATATTAAGTATTTTCTAATTTGAAAGACTTCTGAAACTTGCCTGCCTCAGGAATTAATGAATGTCTTTGATTAGTGGGTATTTGAACAACGTATTTATATATTGGGTAAGAGAGATGCAGATGACAGCCTGTTGACCTTGGCCAGACACAGTGACTCAACTTAAACAATGAAGTATTGCAGAGATTTCTGCAAGAACAAGTTTCAAGACAGAGTAGTTATTAGTGTTAGAAATTTCAGAAGTCAAAATGAGTTTAGATAAAATGCTATTGGAGACAGAAATTTAAAATTTGAGAGCTCATTGAGTAGAACTGTAGGGTCAGAAGTCCTATTTATAATGGGTTAAGTGATTGTTGAGAATTTGATACCCCAAATGGTCACCAAATTCTTACTGAAGCTTTAGGATGTGTCAGATACTGTTTGGGGTCCTAGTGATACAATAGTGAAAGAAGCATATGAAAATGTTTGCCTTTGTGGGCCAAGTTAGAAGGTAGAAACGAGATAATAAAGAAAAAAGTTACATATAACAGTAGAAGGTAAGTAAGGATTATATAGAAAAATAAAGCAAGAAAGAGGTATATGCAATAGTTAGGGAAGACTGCACTATAAAGATAATACTTGGAAAATGACTCCAATAAAGTGAGGGAGGGAATCATATAGTCATTTTGGAAAGGAACCCCCCAGCCAGAAGGAATGGTAAGAGTGAGGCAAGAATACATTTGGTATACTTGGGGAATAGCAGAACCAGAGGCTAGAGTTGAGTGAGAGAGGAAGGCAGTGGTTTAGACCTTATGGGACATAAAAAGGACTTTGGATTTTACTCTTAGATGGAGTATTGTTGGAGTACTTTTGAACAGAAGAAGTCCGTAAATTGACATATTTTAAAAGGATCACTCACTTTGGTATTAGAAATAGACTGTAAGATCAGGTGCAGTGGCTCACACCTACCATGTTTTCCTGAAAGTAAGACAGGGTCTTATATTTATTTTTCCTTAAGAAAACATCCTAGGGCTAATTTTCAGGGGATGTGTTATTTTCCCCTCAAAGCCTCAGTTTGCAGCACGCACAGGATGGCTGGGACCTGATGGGGGAACCGACCTTGTTGGGGGGCTGCCCGCACCTTTCTGGTCACCTCTGGAATAGTAGCTGTCACGATGGGGCAGATGAGAAGGGCTGCTCATCTTCTTTACTACTCCACAACAAAATGCATGGGTTGTGCAGATATGCTGCGTAGCCACGCCCATCACTAGGTCTTATTTTCGGGGTAGGGCTTATAGTGCGCAAATGCTTAGAAATCCTGCTAGGGCTTATTTTATGGGGAGGTCTTATTTTCAGGGAAACATGGTAAAATCCCAGCACTTCGGGAGGATCATACGAGATCAGCCTGGGCAACATAGCAAGATCTCAGCTCTGCAAAAATAAATATAATAGAAGTTAGCTGAGTGTGGTGACATGCACCTGTAGTCCCAGCTACTTGGGAGGCTGAGGTGGGAGGATTGATTGAGCCCAGGAGGTTAAGGTTGCAATGAGCTATGATTGTACCACTGCATTCCAGCTTGGGTGACAGTAGGACCTTGTCTCTTTAAAAAACAAATGAAATATATATAGGCAAGACCAAATGCTGGGAGACCAGCTGCTGTACTCACTCAGATAAGAGATGATGATAGCTTTGACTAGATTTGTAGCAGCAGGAGTGGTAAAGACATAGGATTCACTAATGAGTTGAAAATTTGGGTTTTGTTTTTGCTTTTTGGCTTTTGAGAGAAAGTGAGAGCCCCTCATGGACTTTTGAGGGCTTTTGACCAGAGCTATTGGAAGAATGGAACTTCTGTTATCTGAGATGAGGAAGACGGGGCATTGGCTTTTAGGTAGAAGCGTCAAGAGAAGCATTTTGTTTAGATAGGGTGGACTCAAGTATGCTTATGGGCAGAAAGAGTGAGAGGTCTAGAGAAAGACATAAAAATGTGAAGCAAGTTTTATGAGAACACAACAAATAGAGAAGGTTTGGTGCTGGAGAAAAGGAAGAAAATTCCTTTCCTGAAAAAGCAACAAAAAAAGTTAAGATGATCAATAGGAAAGTTGAAGGGATTTACACTAGATACCTTAGTGATCATATAAGATTTCAGTTGTCTCAAGTTTAGAGAATGAAGTTGAGATTAGATAGTTAAGAAGATATTAAATAGCTTATAGGGACTAAAAATAAAGAGTCAAGCAGAGATGAATAAGAAAACTTTCAGTGGCATTACAACCCAGATAGTATCAGCAGGAATTTGTACTGTTTCAACAAATGTGAAACAAAAACTGGTTGTAAGATACATCATTATTTTATCTACCACCAATAGGGAAAACAAAATACCCAAGATAGGTCCATATAAAGCTGGGTCCCAAAGGCTAAACCTTCAGTTTAAGGCTAAACAAGGCATAAATCCCCACACATGGGAAGTTATATGCCTCAACCCTTGCTCTGGACATAGGCAGATGTAAAAAATATATAAAGAATTTGAATCATAAGTTAATACTTGTGCAGATTTACAGTCTTAATTTCCACCACTAATATAGGCCAAAACACCTTAAGCAGAAAAAATTCAGCAGTATGAAGTTGATGGTGCCCCAAGGTTATTGGCAGAAGCTAATGCAAATCCTCCCTAGAAGAATTCGTTCAATCCAGGTCTATAGGAATTGCAAGACTTCATTGTGAGATGCATTCTGATTTTAGAATGTTAAAGTGTTAAAAAATGTGTTTTAGAAATAAGGTATGCAAACTGGTCTGCATAGTTAGTGACTTCTCCAGCATGCTAAGAAACCTTGGGTAGTGAAAGGGTTTGGTAAGTTTCAAGTGGATCTAATTAGGTAATCATAAGGGAGAAAGAAATAATGTAAAGGAAGAAGAGGGAGTTGCACAGCCCCTTCATGCCTCTTTATTCTGGAAGGTGGGGATTAGACTCTCAGAAATGGCAGATAGATAGCATTCAGTTTGCCCTCCTTCCTCCCATACCCACAGAAGACATTGAATTTCCCAGAGCCTAGAACAATGCCTGGCACATAGTAAATGCTCCGTAGATATTTGAATAAATAAACCAATGACTAATTCTGGCACCCCTCTCTTACTTAGCTTGACTAGACCTTTTAAATATAGCAATCACAATAAATCAAGGTTGGCATAGATTTGAAGCCTATTTTCCACTTCTGAGTTAGAGATTTTAAGGCAGAAAATAATTTCATAAAAAAAAAAAAAGTACTGGCCTTTGAAGTCATAAAGCCTAAACCACAGTTCCTATTATGTAAGAGATGTAATGAGCCCTTTAATATCAATGCCAGTTTTTCCATTTGGAAAAGGAGGAATAATTTCTTTTCTGCCTATCTTAGAGGGATGTAATGAGTCTCAAGAATGATGATAGATACGGAGTGCTTTCTCCATTGACATGCTTAGAAAGCAAGCTTTGTAATATTCTAGGCATCTTATTTTTACATCTGTATTCAGGATTATGGACTTGAATAAAAAAAGACCAAAGCAAAGGAAGAGTTTCTGAGGAGATGTTAAGAATTACTAGTGTCTAGTTTTTGGAAACTGGGCATACAAGAATTGGATAACTCTTACAGTCCTGCACATTTATTACTTAAAGGGCAGTGGGGCTATTAACAGGTCTAAGGGTGCTGATAAAGACTGCCAATTTTTGGAAAGAAGTTCATTCTGCTGTGGTAGATTCCAGATAAGATTGCTTTGCATTCAGATGAAAGTGAGACGTGGAAGACCAACGGATTTGGCGACCACTGGGAATTTCTTTCTTGGATAATAAGATTAAAATCATGTAGAAAAATAGCGTAAAGGGATACGCACTCTGTCTATGATAAGACTACTACAATATCACAATGTTGGCCCCCCCCGAACACGCCCACCCGCCCCGCACATGTTTTTAAAGATGTTCATGAAGGGTCACAGCTGACCTTATTGGGAGTCAGAGAGATACACTCTGCAACCCCACCCAGGGAACTACTGGCTTAGGATGACCTTGGAGGATGTCGCTGTTAGGGTCAGCATATGCTGCACGGTCCATCCATAATTCATAAGAAATATAATCCATAATGAACTTCTGGATGAATATTATGAATTTTAATTAGACTGATAATAACTTAGAATGAGTCTTAGGTTTCTTCAATCTATGCTCAACCAGTCTACGCATTTTTACCGAACTAAAGAATTTAAAGGCCGTGGTTTTCGGCCCTCCCTCTCTCAATACTCATCTACCCCACTTGTTGGCATAAATGTTAGCAATTTGAGTCAAAACAAATTCTCACATAAAAACTTTCCATAGCCTTTTATATTTTAATATACACGTAAAAATGCTACTATTCGTGAAGTTCTGACTGAAATCATATATATACATTACTACTACTCTTACTATACTTATTATGATACTTTCAATTAATTCCTTATACTATATACTACATGCATCAAATAAATATAATATTCTAGTAATTTATATACACGTTATATACCTTATCATAAACATATTCCTTTATGAAAAATATATACCAATAATTATAATTATAATATCTTAAATATATTTTTAGTATATACCAAAATTTTTAGTATTTTCACAATAAAATCTAAGAAATTTAATATAGTCAGCCAATACTATATTATTACATATCTCATACTATCGTTGCCTATATGCTATACTATTACATTTTTACTTGTCAAACTGACTCTGGCCATTTATTTAATACCTCACCCTCCTCTACCCCAGCTTATGTACCTGGAAAATAATGGTACCGCAGAGCGACAAGATACCCACAATTATCCTGATCACAAAATACAAGCCTTTCTCCAGACATCGGAAAATCAAGTTGGCGTGTCGTCATCCGCGCACTCTTGCTATCTTTACACTCAACGCAAGGCACGGCTTAACTTAACGTACAGTATGCTACTGTTTATTTGTCATTGCCTTTTTAGAGTCATGCTAAAGAACCAAAGCCATGCTAAAAGATCTAAAACAAAATTTCTGCACACAGGGCAATCATTTAATCTTACATATGTGTGTGTGGGGGGGGGTGGTAAGAGTGGAAACAGTGAAAGACATTGACCATTCTCTTTAGTGTTTTTCTAAGCTAGGGACAAAATATCACATTCTTTTCTCAAGTACAGTAACAATACTGAATGAAATTGATGCCATAATTGCCAGAAAACTTCCTTTCAAGGCAGTTTTTAAAACTTTTATCACAAAAGTAGGTGCATGTTTATCAAATTTGGTGAATAAAAATGAGCAAAAAGAAAATGTAAGCCATTCATAACCCCTATAACTTAGAGATAACCACTGTTTGCATTTTGATGTATATGCATTTATATATATACTTTGAACTTTACATTGTTTCATAATTTTTCTCCTGACCCCATAGATCATTTCATATCATTAAATTCCTTTTTATAAAATACCTCTTATAGGCTATGTAAACATAATTGATGTATCTATCTCATTCAAAATATTACGTGTTAAACATGATAGAAGATCTCCATGGCTGATGTACACTTCAATCTCTAAGTCCCCATATGGCCAATGGTTAGGACAAATGTCTCTTGACACATATGACAGGATGCTATAGACAGAATATCATGCTAGGAGTTATAATATTGATTGAGTAAATGATTTCATGCTCAAGACTGCTATTTTACCCATTAATCATTTTTTACAGCTAATCATTTGTTAAAAATTATGGCAGAGGGTACCATATCAGGTACTAGACATTTATAGAGAAAAGGCAGTCTCGGCTCAAATGAGCTTGTAGTTTGAGGGGAACTAAAGGTATGTGATAAAGTAGGAAACAAACATAGAATTGGGAATGTGCTGTGGTGATTCAAGAAAAGGTAGTTCCTATTTCCAGTCGGTGCCTGGGAGAACTGAACTTTGAGTTAACCCCTGGACAGGTGAGACTGGGAGCCAGAAGGTGAATGGGACAGCAAAACCACTGAAGCAGAGGATGTGGCATGATCAAATAGTTTAATCAAATAGATCGTTTAATCAAATAAATAGTTTGGCCTGTTTAGAATAGAGAGCTCGTGGAAGATAATATTAGAAAAATAAACACATGCAAGTTTCTACCACTTTTTAGTCATGTTATTTCCATTTCTTTTCCTTTTCAGATAAGGTCTGTGGAGATACACTGCCCTCACCATTGCTGACAGAGACCAGTGAAGCCACAGGTACGTTTGTTTCTGGTACAGAAAACAGGGGCAGCGGATTTGAGCTTACCTGTATGGCTGTACAGAATTCAGAAGCAGGTATTTCAGGTATTTAATTCCCTGCTGTTTTTCTATGATGTGGGGATGAGGAAGAGGAAATGCCTTTGGCCACTCACTGAATTTCCTCAATACTTGCACAGGTTCAGGTTATTGGAGCGTGGCTGTCTTGGCAGAAGAAGGGACAATTCACTCTGCCAATTGTCCTGACCCGCATCCCAGCAGTGTACAGTGTCATCGGTTCATTCTTTCTCCAGGGAAACACATTATAAAGGTAGGCAGCTAAGGAATCTTCTCTCCACTTCACAGAAAACATAGCTATGTTAGTTAAGCAGAACTTAATTCATCTGGATTGTTAAAATGCCCTTATGAGAAGGAGCTGCTTTTTGTCACTATTTTAGTCTCAGAAGGGATCTCTGTGTGTGATCCTAAAGATTTCAGTGGTTTAAAGTGTATACAGTGAAAAGTAAGGCCCCTTCTCATCAGATTCCCATCCTACGCCCTGGAGGCAAACACTGATTAATCACTACAGTACCTCTGAGCATTTACTAATACGTGCACACACACACCTTGCTTGGCAATGCTTTGTCTACTGTAAAATATCTCAAAGATCCTTCCAGATGGACCTACAGAGCTCTTTTTAATGACTGCATAAAATATCGTATGATGATTTGTGATTTATCAAACCAGTTTCCTATTAATAGACGCTTAGTGAGTTTCTAGTCTTTGCCCATACCAGCAATGTTGCCCCCAGAATCCCTGTAGCACTGTCTTTGGACACATGGATATATATAATTCCCGGCATTGGACTTGCTAGGCCAAAGGGTTTGTGCATTTAAACCTGGTAGTCATTGCCAAATTGCCCTTCAAAAAGACGGCAATTATTTACACTTCTATCTGCAGCTGTGTGAGGGTGTGACAGAGCCTTTAAATAGACACAGGAAACTTTCTAAACTTCTCTTCCTTGACCACTTCTCTGATACGTTTATAATTTGTACAGTTGACATTTGAGGACTTCACTGTTGAATTTAACCAAAACTGTGTTTATGATGCTGTTGTGATTTATGATGATTCCAAAGAAGAGCACGAGTTAGGTGGGTAACGTTCTGTCCTTTAAATTCGAAAAGCTTTAGGGTAACTGGAGTAGATGCAGCATTGGCCAGCTGCCTTGGGTTCCATGAGGTAGTGTGGGGATGTGAATTTCTTGCACTGGAAACTCATGGTGCCATAAAACTTTTTGGCTTTAAAATCTGTGAGTCAGTAATTGATTCGCCAGTAAAGTTTTTAATAAAAACATGAAAAATATGAAGAATGCTTTGGACTTTTTGAAAAGTGAAAAGGAAGTCCCCAAAGAAAGGAGAAAATAGTAATAATAAATTTTTAACAGTTATGTAAGGTAACTTTAACACTTTCTTCTTTCTGTGTTAATTCCTCTATTGATGGTATTCTGATGTTTGTATCCAAGAAAAGTAACCAAAAGCTATAATTTCTGCTTGAGTCTTACAATTAATTTTAAGACCCAACTTTAAAAACTCGAGTATATTTTTTTTACCTACTTCTTCTTTTCTCATTGTCTACAAATTAATAATCAGTTGAGGTTTCTGTGCATATTAGAAATTATATGTCTTTACCCTATTTATAGAGCTTTTACTATGAGATAAAATTGTAATGCATTGTTATTGTGAAACTAACATTTAATTCCCACACGAGCTGTAAGGCTGTGCTTACAAATCAAATTTGGAGAAAGCCAAAATTGCTGATTAAAAAATTACTCGGGCTGTATTTTATCTCTGTGTTCTGGCTTTTTAACAAAATTTTTATAACTATAAATCAAGCTTTCCTAAAACTTCTCAGCTAAACTTTGTGGAATCTTTAACATCACTCTGATATTCAGTCCTAGTAACGTGATAGTGATACATTTTTAAAATGATGGTGAAAATAATATTGAGGCTTCAAACCTAGAATCACTGTTTTGCCCTCAGGTGGATATGAACGCTTGTACAATAGGGACTTTCGCTTATAAAAACAGTTACAGGGAAGATAATTTAGCCATGTTTACCTAAATGTATGTAGGCTGTTTGAATTACCTTGGTAACATAAAATGCAGATTCCTGGGTTCACTCCTAGAGACCTATTATAATAGATTCTGTAGATCTTGGATGGGCCTCAGGAATCTGTGTTTTAGCAAGCATTTCAAAGTTGTACTCCAGAAACTGTATCTACTAGAACATAAAAAAATTTTTCAAGAACCATATATGAAAAGTAGAGATTCAGATTAGAGAATGCAGTTCAGAAATGAGATTGGCTCTATCTTAGAATAATTAGTAGTTTTCTTGGCACTCTCAGAAGATAAATGTACTTAGCCAAAAAGAATATCATATGTAAAGACCCTAATGGAAGAAAATGGATGATGTATAAGAAAACTACAAATAACATTGTTTGAGTTTTGGAGGGAATGATAGAAAAGGCAGGATCATGTTGGGCACAAGGCATTGAACTGTAAGTACTGGAGTAACAGGATTTATTGATTGCTTGCTCTGTAGCAGGTATAGACTGAGCATTTCACACATATTATTTCATATATTCCTCACACATCTAGGACGTATGTGTGCTGCTCTCCTTTTATAGAGGAGGGAACTGAGGCTTAGAGAAATTAAGTAACTTTCCCAAAAAATGTACAGTTGGTAAGAGGTGGAGCCAGAATTCAAACCCAGGTTTCCCTTACTCTAGAGTAATATGGAAAATATGGGTGAACTTACATGCAAGGAGAGCAGTGAGGAAGTCATTGTAAAAAGTTTACTCTAGATGTATTTGATTATGTATGTTGTGGGATGGAGTATATGAAGGAAGAATAGTCCAGAATGATTTTCAGGATCCTAGCTGAGTGGCTAGGTAGATGATGGAGCCATTACATGCTATAAGAAAACATACAAATGAGACAATGTTGACTATTAAAATCATTTGGTTCCATTTGGCACATGCGGGTCTTTATTAGCTTGTGGGAAATCCTAATGGAGTTATCTGACAGTCCTAGGTCTAGAATTCAGGAAAAAAGATTTAGATTGAAGAGAAAAATATTGAAATTGTCTACATGTAGATAAATAAAAATAGGGTAATGAACAGTACCTTGAGGAATATCTTTTTAGGCTGAAGAGCAGGATCTTGAAAAAAAGCAAAAAAAAAACTGATATTGAGAAGAGATGACCATAGATAGATCAAAAAAAACAAGAGTAATGTCATGAAGCTAAGGAAGGAGGAAGTGCTTAAAAGAGCCAGATGCAACAGTGATATTAAGAGATATATAAGAAATACAACCATGGGATCTGGCATCTAGCATGTGAATGGTAGTGGTTGTGAGATCTGCAGTAGAGTGATGTAATGATTGCCCAGAGTAAACAAGTAGGATCAGTTAATATGGATACTCTAAGTATTTTCAATTAAAAAATTTTATTCTATAGACACTTCCAATAAAACTGAACCAACATCACCTCCCCAAACCAATCCTGTATCTGCTGCAGAAGCTATTCCATATGGTAAGTTGATGGCCATGTTGTTACTATCTGTTTAATTTCCTTTCTTTGTTAACTAGATGTCTCTTTTGGAAATCCTCATCTTATATTTGATACAACTCTGCAGTGAAGACAAATGGTTCTTATCCCTAGATCTATAAAACTTCCAGAATCCTGTTTGGGTTTATATTTAGACTCATAAATAGAGGGAAGAACAAATAAGCTTTTTGATGGGAAGAAAGGACTACAAGAGCAATCCTTTGTCCTCATCTATCCCTGTACAAACTTAATATCTAAAATGACTTTCTACAGTCTGTGTTTAATATGAGTATGCATTGTAGAGCAGAGGAGGAAAACAAAGTTTTTTTGGTTGTGTGGTCTTTTGTGTATTTTTTTTTAAACTCATGCTGGTATCTTTTTAACTTCCTTATGCTCTAAAGCATCTGGTTAAATACTAAATACTGTGATCTTCCATTGTTTTGCCTGCATGCATTGAGTATGTGCAAGTTGATGGACTGTAATAGAAAGCTGCATGAGGAACTATAAGAGGAGAAAATGTCTACCTCTTGCTGGGGAGTTGGAGGAGGCTTCATGGAAAACATAGCACTTGAGCTGAGTCCCAGTATTTCAGACAAGAGAAATGGCATTTAGATGCATAAGCAAATTTGACATGATTGAGGATTGATAAATGGTTTCATACAGTGAAAACAGAAGGTAAAACAAGGATGTATAATGAAGAATCTTGTAGATTCATTGCTAACAAATGTGAAACTTTCCTACTGGAATGTAGGTTCCATGAGGGCTGACACTTTTATTTACTCCATTCACTAGTGTCACCAATGTCCATAATAGTGCCTGGTGAATAGTAAGCACTAAATAAGTGTTCAACGAATAAATAAATATTATTCTGTAGGCAAGTACCTAAAATTCTGATTGCCTAGCATAGTCACCCAGCTTTTTAAAATCAGATTCCTCAGAGGTGGGTCTTGGGAACTAATGTCTTTAGAAAGCTCATGTGGTATTTGGGAATTACCATTGCTGACTATGACAAGCCTTTGGAGAAGTGTGTTCTTAATCATTTGAGCTGGTTGTGTCATTGGTGTCATCTTTGCTGTAGGTGTTTGTGGCATTCCTCCATTTAGCCCCCAGTGGCTTTCCAGAAGAATCGCAGGAGGGGAAGAAGCCTGCCCCCACTGTTGGCCATGGCAGGTGGGTCTAAGGTTTCTAGGAGATCACCAGTGTGGAGGTGCCATCATCAGCCCAACTTGGATTCTGACTGCAGCCCACTGTGTGCAATCGTGAGTGATTCTGATATTTTTCTTATCTGTTTTGCACATGTGTTTATAGACAATGCCTAAGGCACAGGATAACTGTCTAACGACCAAGATCACCCAGGCCGATTCTAAGGTCAGAATCTTCCTTTAAGTGTTATTTTGCATACAGTATCAATGAGGAAAAAGTTAATGAAATCTAGAAGAAAACATAGGAAAAACACTTCTGGACGTTGGTCTAGGCAAAGATTTTAAGGTTAAGACCTCAAAAGCACAGATGACAAAAATAGACAAATAGTACTATATTAAACTGAAAAGCTTCTGCACAGCAAAGAAAAAAAAAGAGCGAAGAGACAAACTGTTGAATGGGAGAAAATATTTGCAAACTTTACATCCTGTTAGGGACTGATATGCAGAATATACAAGGAACTCAATTCAACATTTAAAAAAAAGCCAAATAATCTTGCTAAAATGTGGGCAAAGGACATTGACAGATATTTTTTAAAAGACTTACAAATGGCCAATGGATATAGGAAAAAAATGTTCAATCTCACTAATCATCAAAGAAATGTAAATAAAAACCACATTGAGGAGGCCGGGCGCGGTGGCTCACGCCTGTAATCCTAGCACTTTGGGAGGCCGAGGCAGGCGGATTGCTCAAGGTCAGGAGTTCGAAACCAGCCTGAGCGAGACCCCGTCTCTACCAAAAAAGATAAATTAATTGACCAACTAAAAATATATATACAAAAAATTAGCCGGCATGGTGGCACATGCCTGTAGTCCCAGCTACTTGGGGCGCTGACAGTAGGATCGCTGAGCCCCGGAGATTGAGGTTGCTGTGAGCCAGGCTGACGCCACGGCACTCACTCTTAGCCTGGGCAATAAAGTGAGACTCTGTCTCAAAAAAAAAAAAAAACACATTGAGATATCATCTTACTCCATTTAAAATGGCTATTATTAAAAAGACAAAAAATAACAGGTGCTGGGTGAGGGTCTGGAGAAAAGGGAACTCTTACACACTGTTGGTGAGAATTTAAATTAATACAGCCAGGCTGGGCGTGGTGGCTCACGCCTGTAATCCTAACACTCTGGGAGGCCGAGGCAGGCGGATTGCTCAAGGTCAGGAGTTCGAAACCAGCCTGAGCAAGAGCAAGACCCTGTCTCTACTATAAATAGAAAGAAATTAATTGGCCAACTAATATTTATAGAAAAAATTAGCCGGGCATGGTGGCGCATGCCTGTAGTCCCAGCTACTCGGAGGCTGAGCAGGAGATGCTTGAGCCCAGGAGTTGAGGTTGCCGTGAGCTAGGCTGATGCCATGGCACTCACTCTAGCCTGGGCAACAAAGCAAGACTCTGTCTCAAAAAAAAAAAAAAAAAAAATTAATACAGCCATTATATGAAAATGAGTATGGAGATTTCTCCAAAAACTGAAAATAAAACTACCATATGATCCAGCAATTCCACTACTGGGTATCTGTTGAAAGGAAAAGAAATCAGTATATCAAAGGGATACCTGCACCACCCCTGTGTTTATTGTAGCACTATTTACGATAGCAAAGCTATAGAATCACCCTAAGTGTCCCTCAGCAGACAAGGATAAAGATGATGTAGTATGTGTACATAATGGCATACTATTCAGCCATAAAAAATGAAATCATGTCATTTGCAGCAACATGAATGGCACTGGAGTTAAGTGAAACAAGCCAGACACAGACAAATTTTGCACGTGCTCATGTGAGAGCTAAAAAGGTTGATCTCATGGGTGTAGAGGGTAGAATGATAGATACCGAAGGCTGGGAAGTGGGGTGCGGGATGGGGGTGAGGGGGTGAAGAGTGGTCGGTCAGTGTTTACAACTATCTAGTTAGGTAGAAGCTATGATTTCTAATGTTTGGTAGCAGAGTAGAGCAGAGTAGGGTGACTATAGTTAGCAATAATGTATTATGTGTTTCAAAATAGCTGGAAGAGAACTTGAAATATTCCCAACACATAGAAATGATAAATACTCCAGGTGATAGATTCCCCAAGTACCCTGACTTGATCATTATACATTCTATGCCATGTAACAAAACACCACATGTACCCCATAAATATGTAATATATTATGCACCAATAAAAAATTTTAATGAAAAATATTTTAAAAATCTGGGAGCTGAGACAGACTTCATTTTTGCTGAAGGTCACTAAATTCCAGACTGGCTGACATCATTGGATAGTGCTCCAAAGATAATAAGGAAAGCTGACAGCCACATTGTACCACCTCCCATAAAGCTTTCCTGGCATTGGTTACCCGTGGTATTAATTCTTAAACTTTAGCACGTACCAGAATCACCTGGAGGGTTTCTGATTCTTTTGTATTTCCCTAGCTCCCCGGTGGTGGTGTCCCACACATAGGGAAAACGTGGTGTCCTCTTCTTTCAAAGACCATACTGGTCTGTGTGCTCATGTGGGACTTTTAACTTACTTTAGGGGACCAAATTCACTTTGCAATTATATATCAGAATCTGACTCATACCTAAATCAGCATTTTCAATTTCAGACACTTTCTGCAATTCAGTAGTGGCTCATTCTTCTCCCATGGCAGTGAGTGACACGTGTCCCATTGTTGAATTGGGAATAAGTCTCTCAGTATACACAGTATACAATAGATGACAATTATGGGAAAGTGGGAAGAAAGGGTGAAGAAAGCCATCAATTGAGACCTTGAACTCTTATCCCGCTATTTGTAAAATCCCAGGCTTGGGATTGTTGCATCATAAAGTGTATGTTGCTTTGTTATATGCTTTTTAGTGTTCTCTACTAAATTGAAGGATATCTGATAACAATAATACATATGACTTCACTAGAAATTGTGGTCTATATTATCACTTGAGTAAGATTTTTATTTCATTGTATTGGGTATGTTATCATCTATATAAAGTAGTAGAGGAGCTTTAAGAAATGTTTCTTCACTACCAAGTAATAATTTGGAGGATGACTTTGAAAATAAAAGTTCAGTCCTTCCATTAGAGTGCATGGCAGATAATAATAATGATAATGGCTACCATTATGGAGTCATTGCCATCTGCAAGGTACTTGCCTGAGTTCACTCCCCTAATAAAGGCATATTGAAACACATGAATAAGTCAAACTCCTCATGCAAGGAATTGAAATGAGCATGATTGTGAGTAGGAAGGAGATGCCTATGTGTATTAAAACACTTCTTCGTTGAATAAGGTGTATTGAAAAATTTCAATGACTTTTCTGGAAGAAACAGTTTTAAAAAAAAATGGGTAACTTAGTCTCCAAACGGAAGTGGCGATATATTTGTGGCAATTGAGGGACTCATTTCTCAGATATTTTTTTTCAGCTGAGATTTTGATAAGGCAAACTAATATATGCGACTCAAGTTTTCTAGCAGCTTTTGGAAGTATATAAAAAATGTGCAAGAATTTTCACAAAGGGAACACCCACAAAACAAGCACCCAGATCAAAACCCAACTTCTGAGACCCAACACCCGGCAGCCACCTCATCTCCCTCCAGTCATCATGTCCCTAAAAGTAATCGGCGCCCTGATTTCTAACACCATGGGTGAGCCTGGCCTATTTTTGAGCTGATAAATTTATACCCTCAGTTTCGTCAGTGAATAATAAAAACTGATTTGATAAAAGATGATTCTTTAAGACACAGCCCTGTGAGATAATGCTTGGATAATTTTGAACAGTAAAACAGAGACCAGAAGCTACCTTATTATGAATGTACCTTTTTTTTTTTACACATTCATATTACTAAAATTAAAATAAGCTTTAAATTTTCTTTTTTTCCTTCTCAACTTATAAAAAGTCTTTGGTGATATTTGGTAAGGGATTCAGGGACATTTTAGGGCCAAAAGAAGGTAGCAAGATCCACAAGGAATCTTGCAGATCAGGAGGCCAAGGGTGGCCTACCTGGGAGGGAGATAACAAAGGCACTCAGACAGGGGAGTGAGTGTCACCTGGTTGAACTGAACCATGCACGATGGTAGAGCCAAATGGGATTAGACCAAAATATAAAAAATATTTTCATGTCAACCTTTTCTTTCTCTAGGAAAAATAATCCACTCTCTTGGACTATTATTGCTGGGGACCATGATAGAACCCTGAAGGAATCAACTGAGCAGGTGAGAAATGTTTTTTAAAGGTCATTTTGCCTATATTCTAAATGTTGTCACATACCAGGGAATACTGTCAGTTAAAATATGTGATTAGTTAATAATCTCCTAGTGCTCTTTTATGGTTATTTATACCACATTTAAAGATGCAATTTTAGGTCACATTTTAATTTGAGAATTAGGTGAAGTAGGTCAGGAAATGCAAATTCAAGTTCATGTGTGCAAGTCCATGTGGTTTTCCTCTAGGACCACCAATTCTCAGAAGGTGGTTTATGGCCTCCTGAAAATTAGAAACCAAGATTGCTCTTTTGAATTTAGGAGAAAGTCACCTTCTTTGTTGATGTATGTAAATGCAGAGATTTAGGATTACTTAGAACTATTATGCAAGGAAATTGCTTGATTCTTTGACTTTCTGATCTTGTAATGCATTTGCTTGCCACTGATACAGGCGAAAAGGGTCAGACGCATAGTGGTGCATGAAGACTTTAATATTCTCAGCTATGACTCTGATATCGCCCTCATACAGCTGAGCTCTCCACTGGAGTACAACTCAGTGGTGAGGCCGGTGTGTCTCCCACATGGCCCAGAGCCTCTGTTTTCCTTGGAGATCTGTGCCGTGACCGGATGGGGAAGCATCAGTAAAGGTAAACGTTGGACTTTTGCATAAACATTACTGCCGCTTATTTTTGAAAATAGGTCATGGAAATGATATCACGCAGTATCTGCCTTAGCCCCTCTTCCTTTTAAAAGATAGAAATCATATTTTTTTTCATCTTCCTATGCATTTTTTTTATTTAGGCATATTATGGGGGTACAGATTTTAAGGTTTCAATAAATGCCCTTCCCTCCCCCACAAGTCTGAGTTTCCAGCATGACCATCCATCCCCCAGTAGAAACCATATTTTATTCAGTTGTAATAGCTCAGCACATGAATAGAGAATGAGCTGTCTTAAGTTTTTCCTTCAGGATAACTTAGATTCTATAGACTAGATTCGGGTCATCAAACATTTTCTCTAAAGGGCCATATGATAAATCTTTCAGGCTTTGCAGGCCACATGGTGTCTGTTGCAACTGTTCAAGTCTACCATTGTAGTATAAAGCAGTCACAGACAATATGTAACATAATGGGTGTGGTTGTGTTCCAATAGAACTCGCTTTATAAAATTTATTTAGATTTGGATTTTTGGATTTTTTTTTCAACCATCTAAAAATGTACAAACCATTCTTATTTCATGGATCGTACAAAACAGGCCCGTGTTTGGGGGGTGTGCAGAATTGACCCATGGGCTATAGTTTGCTAACCCCTGGCAGACTATAGAGGTTTTTTTTTGTTTGTTTGTTTTGAGTCAGATTCTCACTCTGTTGCCTGGGCTATCCAGCCTAGCTCACAGCAACCTCAAACTCCTGGGCTCAAGCAATCTGCTGCCTCAGCCTCCCCAGTAGCTAGGACTACAGGCATGCACCATCATGCCTGGCTAATTTTTTCCTATATATTTTTAGTTGGCTAGTTAATTTCTTTTTATTTTTAGTAGAGATGGGGTCTCGCTCTTGCTTAGACTGGTCTCGAACTCCTGACCTTGAGCGATCTGCCCGCCTTGGCCTCCCAGAGTGCTAAGATTACAGGTGTGAGCCACTGCCCACGGCCAGACTATTGAGTTCTTAAAGGCATAGCAAAATACTGAAAGAGCTGAATGGATTGATATATTTTTTGCTGCTTTCACTGTATGAAATCACGTTCTTTGTATGTTTTCCTTCTGTGTGTCATTTATTTGGAATCCGTGTGCTTGAGGGAGAAGGAATTTTGCTTGCCATGTTCATGCTCACAGCTTACTATGAGCGGCTACCTGCCACCAAATTGCATTTGCATAAAATCTTGCCACCCACCATGTGAGGGCTTTTATCATCCCCACTTTACAAATGAGAGGGTCACGGCCCAAAGATTTAAGTAACTTGTTAAGATCCCATGACTAATAAATATCAAAGCTAGGATTTAAGACCAGCGTGGCTCAGCTTACAATCATTCCTTAAAGCTTCTCACTTTACTTAGAAGGAAGTTTGAACTGCTTAGCCTGGCTTGGAGAGCTCTGTGTGATTATGTCTCCAAAGTCACTTCCTCCTTTTGTCTTGTTGGTTAACCTGCAGGTGCCATGGCCTTCTTTCTTTCTCTTAAACACCAGGCTTGCTTTGCTTTCTGAAGTTCTGCGCCTGTGTCCCCTTCCATTTGGAATACTCCTGTTACAATCTGCTCATCGCTGTTTTCCCCTCATTCCTTTCTCAACTGAAATGTTGCTTCCTTTCTCGGAGCATATGCTGCAGCAGGACTGACCTTCCAGCACATTCCACACTCCCCCAGTTTATCATCTCACTGAGTCTAAATGTACTTGGCATGCTTTTATGGAATCATTTCCTGCCTCTCACCCATTAGAGTAGGAGCCTCTTAGAGGCAGATCTGTCCTTACCACCCTCTCCCCAGGACTAGACATATACATGGCAAAGAGTGAGCATCCAGAGTATTTTTCAACTTGCCTCAAAGCCCTTGCATGAAAGTGCCAGCTCTCTAACACCTTCAACCTTCACCAATTCCGAGACCACCAGACGACTGAAAAATGGTTACAGAATTAAAGGATGAATTCATTCTTTTCAGCTGGGAGAAAAAAATGAATTCTCAATTTTTTGAGACATCCTCAGCCACACTCATGGAGATAGACCCTCTAAAGAGAATTTTTAGTACATTAAAAAGAATGCAAGATTTGGAGATGGACCTGGGCTTGAGTCCTGGTTCTGTTCTGAAAGAGCTATGAGATCAAATTTTCAGAGGTCTGGCTTTTTCATGTGTGAGATGAGTGTGATTAACCTGCCTCATGATGATGTCACATTAGGTTGGAATAAAGGACTTTGTAAATATTAGGCTGCTATATACATGCAGAGTAATTTTTATTAATATGGTCCCAAAAGGTATAGGGCTATAAAATGCTCAACTTTTAAAAAATTAGCCATAAATCTAAAATGAATAAGTCATGCAGAATACAAGTTAGCACAAGACTGCCTGAGGGTCAAGTATGAGGAGAAATTTTTTAATGTTACCTTAAATTAAAGGTGAGATTAAGCTTCAGTGATGGTAGAGGAAAAAAGTGGAGTAAGATTTCGGTTTCTATTAGGAAATCATGCGAGCATATGTTATCATATTTATAAGAATATATTTAAATAATATATTTGCATAAATATGTAACCATATTTATTTATAATCATAAAACATATATAACACTAGTTCATATTTTGTTGAATTTTTATTTCTGAATTCTAATGCGGCAATATTTTATGTACCAAAATTTAAATTGTAAATAAGCTAGAAAAAAGTGTTTTTGGTCTTGTTTGCCTGCCCCAGTGGCAAAGATGCCAAATCTGGAAATGAAGACGTGGTACATGAAATGCTTGTATTTCCCCTCCTGCCTCAATATTCTGCATCAGTGCAGGCAAATTGAATGACCGCAATTATGTTGCTACGGAGCAAGTCTGCACTGAAACATATTTCTTTAACGTCGCTTGTTGCTTGCTTCATCGTTGAGCTCTCCCTTTCTGAATCTCTTTCTTACTTAGATGGCGGCCTGGCACGTCGCTTACAGCAAATTCAAGTGTCTGTGTTAGGAAGAGAGGTCTGTGAACGCACTTACTATTCCGCTCACCCGGGAGGGATCACAGAGAAGATGATCTGTGCTGGTTTCGCTGCATCTGGAGGGAAAGATTTCTGCCAGGTGAGAGGATTCTGATTTTGTACAGGAAGGTAGAAAATTGCCTTCTGCTGGAGAGTCCCCTTGGACAGAAGGCAACCACTCTCGAAGAGACTGCGCGTCCAACCTGGCCTGTGCCTCCAACGTCATGCCACATGTCGGCAGGAGAGCCGGGAGGATAAGAGGAAGAGTAAGGCCGGGCGTGGTGGCTCACGCCTGTAATCCTAGCACTCTGGGAGGCCGAGGCGGGCGGATTGCTCGAGGTCAGGAGTTCGAAACCAGCCTGAGCGAGAGCAAGACCCCATCTCTACTATAAATAGAAAGAAAATTAATTGGCCGACTAACATATATATATATAGAAAAAAATTAGCCGGGCATGGTGGTGCATGCCTGTAGTCCCAGCTACTTGGGAGGCTGAGGCAGGAGGATCGCTTGAGCCCAGGAGTTTGAGGTTGCTGTGAGCTAGGCTGACGCCACGGCACTCACTCTAGCCTGGGCAACAAAGCGAGACTCTGTCTCAAAAAAAAAAAAGGAGGAAGAGTAAGTCACTTAATCCAAACTTGCTGAGATGGCAGAGTGGCCACAAGCAACTATAAGGCCAGAAAGGCCAGTGGGCACACAGGAGCCCGTGAGAAGGCGGGACAACAGCACCCTAGCCAGGCCTGGGGTGCAGAGATGTGTCCAGAGATGGTTAAGCCTTCCAGAAAAGGAAAACAAATGAAGGTTCTATGTATTCTCCTTATGACTTAAAAGTTTTCTTGTTTTAAATTGTCACTAATCTCCTGTGTACTCTCACTTTGTGACATCCATCACAAAGATGCCAGCTGGGCAAGCTTGCTGTTGCTAAGTTCAGAATCAACTCGGACAAAGACAGAATATGGATGAAATGGATTGCAAAACACTAGCTTTAATATTCAGAGTCAATTGAGGGACGTGACTTTACGTATACAATCTAAAGAGTTTCGAGCACTCTGTGTATTCACCTCCAACCGTGAATCTGGGGCAGCCCATCTAAAGGAAAGTTTGGGTCTGTAGGGCAGTCACACTTCTCCTGATTTTATTTATACTAGTCTAGGGTAGAGAGGGAAGAAAGAATGAATCTCTAGTCTTTGCAACTTTTTGATAGTTGCAATAGTTGATAGTTTTGATGGTTGGTAGTTTTCCCCACCACTCAGAAACATGAACCAATGGATGTCACCTCCATGGGGAGAAACAACTGGGGATCATCAGGGTGGAAAGTCATTCCATGTGAAAACATGGAGAGAGAGGGAACAAGGTCCTTAACACTGAATATAAATTTCTCGTAATTAAACCCTTCCTTTCATGGTGTCGAGTGCTACTTAAACTCTGTTTTGATGTCGCATATCTTAATTTGTAGTCCCCAGAAGCAGACTCTGAGATAAGGATTCAAGTGTAATGATCTGTTTTAGGATGCATAGACATCACTGGTAGGAAAGTGAGGAGAGATGGTCCAGGGAGGGGAATGCAGCCAAACTAGATGTGCTGTTAAGACAGCTACCACCGTGAGGGACTAAAGCTTCATCCTGCAGGGAAACCCGTGGCAGTGATGTGAAATACACATGGTACGTTGATGCATCTGAGGGTAAAGGAGCTGGGGTATTTGTACACTACTTCCCAAAAGTCATAGTTCGGAGGCTGCTTTGGGGAGGGGGCTGTTAATTCCTTAGCATATCCTACACTTTGGGGCTATCTCCTGGGTTGGAGTGGACAGAGGGGACAAGCCCTCAGGCACAGAGCCACCATAGGCACTGGAAGATATGAGGACTGTGGGAAGGGTGCCCATGCTGTCTGCTAGATACTTAAATGTTATCTTATAATCAGATAGAAAGTACTGTTAATTAATGCATTCATCTTCTGCCTTAGTTTATTGTAGAATTAGAGGGATGGTTTTCCTTTCTGCTTTGAATCGAGGAAATCACAAGTGGGTCTGTTGACTTTGTCATGTTTGACAGCATCTAACATCATGGGGACAAATCTTATTTTGTGTCGAAGGAGCAAACGAACTAGAGAGGAGTTTAGAGAGGTCCATGTCACAGGTGGTCTGAATACCATTATCTCGTTTGGCACTTATTTCAGCTGTGTGCAGCTGTCACTTTGGCTGCAGCATGACTGAATACTGCCCATATATGGGAAGAAAAATAAGAGTTGAGATTCCAATAAATATAGTTAGCTTTCTTTTACCAAGAACACTGAATCACTGGAAGGGTGACTTTAGAAACTCGCTTTAATAAAAGTGGACTTTTTCTCTATCAGGTAATTGATTTTTATTCTCCTGTGTATGCTCAAAGGTAATGGACCTGCCAATGTAATTCCTCATCCAGGAAGGTAAAAGTAACAATGTTGGGATGTGGAGACATGGGAGTTTCAGATGTGCAATGTGAAATCCTGTTCTTCGCACAGTGGATTTTAGGTTTTTTCTTTTTTTATTCGAAGTTCTTTTGACCTACAAAGTGATAGATCTCTATCCTCACAGTGGCATGTGTCTTATTCTGCTAACTTTCCATCTATTTCATTCTTTTCTGCTTGTTTACTATGTTTCAGCCACATGGATTGCCTTCTAACCGCCCAACTTTGCCACATCTTCTCTGTCCTAGGGGGACATAATCCAGATATATATTTTTTTGCCACTGCTGCTACCTATGTGCACAAAATGGGACAGATCACTTATTTCTCTAAGTGTAAGTTTCCGCCTCTGATAACCTAGTTATTAGTTCAGCCCTTATAATCTCTGAAATTTTGGAACTTTGAAATCTTTAGGTAAGCTGAATAAAATTATTATACTAGAGTCAGAACAAATCCATTTTAATAGCTATTAGACAGCCTTTAACTTTTTTTCTTCACTCGACCTCCAACTTTCTCTTCTGGTTTCTCTGCATATGTCATAAGTCTACTTTGGGGTTGATCTGAATAGATGGCGTTAAGAGTGACCGGTGATAGGAAAACACTTCTGACACAGGGTGGCACCCAATGATCCTAACTCAATTACCTTAATGGGACAGGTAGCCCATTTCTTAAGTTGGATCAGTTTGAGCCACTGTCCAGTTTTCAAATGTTTTCAAATTAAATTTTGATTTTAAAAAAGATACAGCTTGAAACCTTAAATATTAACAGTTTCGCTAATTGGTGATATCATTTAAAGAAGGTGACCCTCCTGATAGTGCTGGGAAGACTTAGTAATTGTTAGTATGTGAACTAGGTTTTCACTTAACCCTGGAATCAAATTACCTACCTGATTGTCTTTAAATTTTGTTCCCTTTTGTGAAAAAGAGAATATACAGTTACGTATTAATATCTGAAGTTATACAGATTGACAAAGAACAAATATCCAAATTAAGCACTTTAAACGATTGGTCATTCCTTTCTAACATTTGAATGCAGGAGCTTCAAAGGAAAGCCATTTTCTAGAACATGCTTTCTTGTTTCAGGGAGACTCTGGTGGTCCATTGGTATGTAGACAGGGAAACGGTCCCTTTGTCCTGTATGGCATTGTCAGCTGGGGAGCTGGCTGTGTCCCGCCGTGGAAGCCAGGTGTATTTGCCAAGGTGAGGGTCTTCTTGGACTGGATCCAATCCAAAATCAAAGGTAAGTTGTTTTCGTATATTATGAAAACAATGCCTCTTTCTTTAGAGTGAGTTTGGGAGCAACGAGTATGGATACCAACGAGCATTATGAAAGAAAATCATAGAAATACAATTTCACTTAGTTTCCAAACACATTAAAATGCAAGGCTCTAGAAGAATAACTCCTCCTTTGGGCAGAGTTAGGATAAAACCAATTTTTCCTGAGGCTGCTTTAATCCTGGATTTGTGTTTCCTTTTAACAGTGCTGCTTTGGAACAGACTACATTTTGTCTTCAGGCTTTCATCTTTGTTTTTAACATCTTCTCCCCAAATACAGGTCCTGCTTCACTTCAGACAAAAAAGAAAAGCAAAACCTTAGAACAACAATCGCCACCACTCACACCTTCAACAGACTGTGCATCTGGGCCAGGTAATAAATGTTCCCATTATCCCATTAATATATTCAGCAAGAATTTAGGAAAAAATACTATATATGTGGGTTCACTTGTTTTCCTTGAAATGCTATAATCTCTGTGTTTTCCTTCTGGTGGTAGCTTATGCTGAAAGAGAGGAGAGTAGTCATTACAATCGTCTTGGGATCTTTTCTACCCTGTAGGTGCAGATGTTTCAGGTAAAAAGAAAATCTTGTGATTGTGAACAAGTGCTTGAATATTGGGGATGTCCATAGAATTGTTTTAGACTCTGAGCTATTAACTCCTACCTGAACAAATGTCCTTCAACGTTCAGTTGTCTTGCTAGGTAAAGATTATGGGTATAAGATGACTAAGACCAGCTTCAGTATCTCTCTCAATTCTCCCACAATTGCCAGTGTCTGTTTGATAACTGGATTTTGACCTGTATTCAAAAACTAACAGCAACAAGAGAATTAGAAGTTTGTAACAGCCTTGTAGGAAGATGAAAGTTCTATGGTACCATCACTCTTGGTTTCCAAATGGTCAGAGTCTTTCCCTTGTCAACCACCTCTGCCCCATCACCCCCCTACACTTAACCCCAGTGGGCAAGTAGGAAGAGTTGAAAGAAAATTAAAGAAGATGTAAGACATAGAAGGTGGAATTGTTAGAGTCATGTCGTTGAGTAGAAGAAAGGGGGTGGGATCTTGTGCCCAACAGGAGGGATTGGTCTTTAACAAGAACAAGGTACACTTCATCCACAGTTGCTGGATGAAAGGCAAGATGTTTAGGTACTGGTGCAGGTGTGTGGGTACACTTGGGGATGGGAGTTTCTAGAACTTCTATTGCTTCTGTTTTCTCAGCAGATGAATGAAGGGGTTGGATAAGGAAGTTTTATTTTTAAGAGAAAGTATCAAATATTTCCTTGGAAAAATGACATAGTGACTAGACTAGGAAGATACAGTAGGATTTCCTGGGCAGCATAAAGGCCCCCTGAGATAAATGATCATGAATTTAGAGAGAGTTCCCAGTTAGTTTAGTTGTATGTTTTTCTCTGGAAGCACTAAGGTAGACCCAGAGCAGGTGGAGAGTACATTTAATCAGAGTGGGGTATTCCCAAGTATGTGAGGGTATAAGAGAGTTCAGAGTGTGTGTGAAGAAGTGATTAAACTGACTGATCATTGGAATTTATGATGCATAAGGAGTGAAATGAAGATGAGAGATGAGTTTGGGAAAAAGAAAGGTGGTAGGATAGATGAATGACAAGTCTCAAAGGGTGGAACAAGTGTTGGGGGAAGCTGACAAGATGGGAGGTTGTGATTGGAGAGAGTGGTGCTTGAAACTGAGATCATGGGAGGGCTAAAACACAGTTGCTACTGTTGAGCAAGTCTCAAGGGGGCTGACCATTGGGATAAGTGACTGAGGTCAGGTGGAGGACAAGAACATGGGAAGAAAGTTTGGGAACTGAGAAACTTCAGTGCTAGAATCATCTGTACAGCTACCGAAATCAATGAGAATTGTGACAGGAGTAGAGTTGGAGAAAATGACCACTGAAATCTTCCAGGAATGAGGGAGTGACCCTGGACCACTTGTCTGGCAGTGTAAGAGGCAAAGTTGGGCAAAGTAGATTTAGGTTAAAAGTAAATCTAGAATTGGGGTTGACATGGAGAACAGACTTGGGTCCAAGATCCTCAAAACTTCTGATTACAGTGGTCTGATTAAATGACTGATTTCAGTAAGTGCCTAAGAAAGTCAATATATGTAAAGTACTGAGCACAGGGAGGGTCTGGCCCATGATAAGGGTCAATAAGCAGTGGTAATAGTAGCTGTCTAATACAGTCTTTGAATGTTCCCATTGATCTGTTAAAAAATTAACATTGTTCAAATGTAAAGAAGATATTTCTCCTTTGCATATGTTCAGAAACACTTAGGCATGCCAAAGAACTTTGAAAACTTTATATCTGAAAGGAAATAAAATTTGTTTTAGTTCTGTGATTATTTTATGAGATAAAATATTAGGACAATGCCATATTTAATGTCCACCCACTCACATCACTTGCTTTTTACACTAGGGAATTAATGAATCATACCAATGTTTTTTGAGATTGTTATACCCGCTTATAAAAAGCAGTGGCTTGTTGGGAATTCATGGCTCTATATGATTTTTTTACCAAGCTGCCTTTCTAGGCAAGTTTGTCATAGAGGATTCATATACAGAGGGAGAAATATTGAGAAGATTGGAAAGATATGTTGGGACCAGAGTCCAAAATATCCTGCAAGCTGCATTACTATAGTTGCTTTGAGCAAGAAAAGAACTTTGATTCTTTCATTTTATACACCACTCCCAGATTGGAGGGCATGGTGAAGGAAGATTATAGAACTGCGGGAGATCATTTAGTTTACCGCTAAATAAAACCAGACCTGGTAAATATCTGATTAGGTTGTGGTAGCTATATAAAGAGGAGAAATCACAAAGAAATAACAGAGGACTAGGTAATGGGGTACAATCACGAATTCTCGTCGCACTTCATGTCCCTCATGCCGCTTTTCATCTTTCTGTTCATGTTATAAAAGTATGTTTACTTACCTGTCTCCTTGGCTAGATTGTTAATTTCTCTAGGGTAATGCATGCATAATAATGTGCATATTCATTGCTACATATATTAAAATATGAATACATTACAGGATATTTCATTTTGTAATTTCTCAAAGTTTTTGTCAGAGGAATAAACATGAGGGAAAAGGGGAGAGTCAAAGATGAATCCTGAATGAAGATACTAGAAAAAAGAGAAGCTGATGTACATGGTCGGTGGGCCAGAGAGCCACCGGCATCTGAACCACTGCAGGTATCCCTGCACATCTGAAGTGCCCATGGACCTAGCAAGTTGAAGTGAGACACATCCCAGTATTTTCAGCAAGTTCTCTTTTTCTTAACCTCAGTCACAAGCTCTGTGAATATAATCATTTGTCCAAGCAAGATGAGTATTCATCTAATTTAGGGAAGCTTTTAGGAACAGGTCTTTAGTTGCATCTCAAAGAAGGAAAGAAATAAAAACCTGTTGGGAATAGGGACTGAAATCCATGGTGTAATTTTCTAAGATATTTTAAAAGTTCAGTTAAAATTAACTATAAATAATTGCGATTTAAATTCCACTCCTACAGTCTTATTTTAAGAAAACAGGACACATTAAATAGAATGATTATTATTTGAACACAAGAAGTTATCACTGATAGTAATAAAGTCTTAATTTTCTTCTTGCAAGCCTAGGTTTTTCAAGCTTATGTTAGAACCTCATTTTTCTTTGCCTTATTTTATGTTGCTCTTTGGTGTCTCTGTGTTCTGAATTGTAGGCCGTTGCTCTGAAGTGGAGCTAGAGGAGCCCAGAGGCTTTTCTTCAACTCCAAGATATCCACTGGATTACAGAGGAAAACTGGAATATCCTTGGGTGCTCAGAGTTTCACCAAACAGGATGGCAAAATTTACCATTGAGTGTCTATCACTTCCCAGGTCTCAGGTGTGTGGAGACTCAGTTCTGACCATTTATGAAGAAAGCCACAGTGGGAGAAGGATGGCAGGTAATTAGTCCTGGCAAGTAAATTTTGTGCTAGGAGCCTTTCTGTGTAGGCAGCTTAGGATCAAGAATGACTTGGAGCCAGGCACCGTGGCTCACGCCTGTAATCCTAGCTCTCTGGGAGGCTGAGGCGGGCTGATCCTTTGAGCTCAGGAGTTGGAAACCAACCTGAGCAAGAGCGAGACCCCGTCTCTACTATAAATAGAAAGAAATCAATTGGCCAACTAATATATATATAGAAAAAATTAGCCGGGCATGGAGCGCATGCCTGTAGTCCCAGCTACTTGGGAGGCTGAGGCAGAAGGATCGCTTGAGCCCAGGAGTTTGAGGTTGCTGTGAGCTAGGCTGACGCCACAAGACTCTGTCTCAAAAAAAAAAAAAAAGAATGACTTGGTAATAATGCCACCAAAATGTTGATTCATGTAATAGGCATGCCTTTCCACCCTTCTTCACCCTTAGTATTTTCAAAATTTTAATTCACAAAGCAGATATACTAAAGGTGGGGGAAGAGAGGGGGGAGGGAGGGAGAGAAGGAGGGAGGGTAGGAGGGAAGAGAGGGGAGGGGAGGGGGGCAAGACAAGAGAGCCCACCTTCTTCAAACATACCTGAACCACGCCAGGATGCTAGAAGAGCATATAGGGTAGAAGAGGAGGAGGTTGGACAATGGTTAAAAATATAGTGGGGGGCCAGGCGTGGTGGCTCACACCTGTAATCCTAGCACTCTGGGAGGCTGAGGCAGGCAGATCTTTTGAGCTTAGGAGTTCGAGACCAGCCTGAGCAAGAGCGAGACCCCATCTCTACTAAAAATAGAAAGAAATTAGTGGGACAACTAAAAATAGATAGAAAAAATTAGCTGGTCATGGTGACACATGCCTGTAGTCCCAGCTACTCGGGAGGCTGAGGTAGGAGGATCACTTGAGTCCAGGAGTTTGAGGTTGCTGTGAGCTAGGCTGGTGCCATGGCACTCTAGCCCGGGCAACAGAGCGAGACTTTGTCTCAAAAAAAAAAAAAAAAAAATACAGTGGGGATGGTGGAGGGAGATGAATGAAAAAATAAAGCGAAATACATTAAAGGCTTTTAAAAGTGGTAGGATTAAAAAGATTTGCTAAAAATATGGCAGCCCTCATTTTTCATTTCATGCACGGGCAAACGTGTTTTTGTGTAACAACACAAACTTGCCACCTCCTGTTTGTATAGGCGTAGTGAGAGCTTTTTGGCTGTCTGTAAGGTGGGAGGTAGGAAAGTGAGCAATAATCTGGTTAATGGGCCAAACCTGGAAAGAGAATGAGTTGGTGTATGTCATTGTGAGAGTGTGTATGGTACATGCTCATGCTTGATTCTGAAGTATATATAATAGAGGCCGAGGAAACTGGTTTGAGGGGGAGGTTGTTTTCTTTGGATAAATTCTGAGAGATTAAATCATTGGGTTAGCAGGCACAAACATTTGCTTAAAGAATCTTTCTTTATAAGTACAATTTCATTTAGATCACAGAAAAAACTATTAACCAGTCTATTCACTTGGCACATTTCCCTCAATAATCAGATCACTGCCCCCGTCCCCATTGATTAAAACCGTTCCATGGCTTCCCCTTGCGGCTGGAATAAAATCCAGCCTCCCTGGAAGACTGCTCACCTCCCTCTTCTCCAGCTCACAGGTTCCTGGTACTTCTCATTCCAACCTCAGGGCCATTGTCTGTCTACTCCCAGCACTTGAAGAGCTCCTTCTCATCCTTGTCCCTCACCTCCCTCGATCTTTAACTAGAATATTACCTTTTCTTTTCCTCTTCTTTTTCTTTTTGAGACAGGGTATAGCTCTGTTGCCAGGCTTAGAGTGCAGTGGAGTCATCAGAGCTCACTGCAACCTCAAACTCCTGGACTCAGGCGATCCTCCTGCTTCAGCCTCCCGAGTAGTTGGGACTACAGGCCTGTGCCACCATGCCTGGCCAGTTTTTTCTACTTTTTTTGTAGAGATGGGGTCTCGAATTCCTGGCCTCAAGCAATCCTTCTGCCTCCCAAAGTGCTAGGATTACAGGCATGAGCCATCACGCCCAGAGTAGAATGTTCTTAATAAAACTGATACAAGTTGCCTCCCTCCTCCCTCCATTCTTCTCAGCCCCCTACTCTTAAACCACTTACTGTATACGTTATGAGTTTTGTTTTCATGATTATTGTTTGTCCATATCTTCCCTATTGAATGTGAGCTTCATGGGGGCTGGGACTTTTTTCTTTTTACTCAAGAAGCTGCAGGGCCTAGAACAGTGCCTGACACATAGAAGGCACTTAATGAATAAGTAAATGAGGGAATGGTCACCTCTAAAGAGGGTTTCTCAGTCTAAAGTATAATAAATAGCATGATCCATTCCTTCCCACAGTCATTGTCTGTTATGATGGCTATTTCATTGGTAGCCTTGGTTTCTACCTGAAATCATCTTCATTTACCTGACTAAAGTAAAGCCTTTTGAGAGAGACCTTCTGTATACGTTCCCTACTGTATACATTCAAATGAGAAAAATGCCCAGGGACTCAGAACTTGGAGTTTTTTTGTATGAATATTTGCTAAGTTTTTTTTATTTGTATAAAGTTTTGCTAAATCACTCTTCAGAAAGGCTAACTCAGTTTTCACTGCCATTAGCAGTTCATAGGATCTTCTATAACCATGCTCAGAACCTAAGATGTCAATTTGATAGGCAATTTTACTTTTTTTTTTTAATCTTTAATGGGGGCAAAGTAAGTTTGTTTACTTGAGATGGGTTCTCTCACTGTTGCCCAGCCTGTCCTTGAACTCCTGGACCCAAGAGATCCTCCTGCCTCACTCTTCCAAATAGCTGGGACTACAGGCACATGCTACTATGCCAAGCTTTCATTTATTTTTAATTAGTTGCCATTACCTTTTGTCCATTTTAAAATTTTGAATATTATTTTTATTGATTTATTTTTCTTTTAGTTTATATACAAAGATAATTTTCCTTTGTCATAAGTTCTAAGTATTATTTTTTTAATTTCTAAATGTTTATTAAATAAATGAATATGTATTCTCAAAGGGAGATAATCTGTACCTTTCATCCCATGTGATACTTTCTGCCCCAAATAAGGTTTAATGATCTTTTACTTCAATCTAGTGCTATCTCTTCTAATGTCTGTGATGGTAAATTCCTATTTTTTTAAATTTCAAAATATTATGGGCATACAAACATTTTGATTACATGAATTGCTTTTGTACAATTTGAATGAAAGTTGCAAGTGTGCCCATCACCCAGATAGTGTGCATTGTACCTGTTAGGTACGTATTTACCCATATTCTCCTGCCTCCTTCCACCTGCTTGATTTCTGTTGAGTCTTACTAGTGCACATGAGTGTCAATTGATTAGTTGCAATTTAATAGTGAGCACATGTGGTGTTTATTTTTCAATTTTTGGGATACTTAGAAGAATGGTTTCCAGTTCCATCCAGGTGGTTACAAAAGGTATTAGTTAACATATTATTTATGGCTGAGTAGTACTACGTGGTGTGTATGTGTGTATGTATATATATATGTATGTATGTATATATACACACACACACCACATTTTAGTAATCTACCCACATATTGATGAGCACTTGATTTGATTCCACATCTTTGCAATTGTGAATTGTGCTGTTATAAATAATTGAGTGAAGGTGTCTGTTTGATAAAAATGACTTTTTTTTCCTCTGGATAAATACCCAGTAATGGGATTTCTAGATCAAATGGTAGTTCTACTTTTAGTTCTCTGAGGTATCTCAAAGCACTAAATGGTAGATCAAATGGTAGGTCTACTTTTATTTCTTTGAGGTATCTCCATACTGTTTTCCATAGAGATTATGCTAGTTTGTAGTCTCACCAACAGTGTATAAGTGTTCCTTCCTCTCTGCATCCATGCTAGTATCTGTTGTTTGGGGACTTTTTGATAAAATCCATTCTCACTGGAATTAGAGGATATCTCATTGTGGTTTTGATTTGATTTTCTCTAATGATTAGAGATGTTGAGCACTTCGTCATTGTTTATTGGCCATTAGTCTGTGTTCTTTTGAAAAGTTTCTGTTCATGTGTTTTGTCCACTTTCTGATGAGGTGGTTTGATTTATCTCATTGTTTTCATGCTTAAACATTGATTCTCCATTCTGAGGTCAGAACAATCTTTTTTTTTTTTCCAATTAAACTACCTCATTAATCCTGCTGAAATGTATTTTCTCATATGGTAAAGGGACTCTACCTGCTTCATTTTTTAAAAAAGGTTTATTTTCTTCTCAATTTATAACTATCTTTATGATATACTAGATTCATATATGGAGAGAGTCATTTTCCGGGGAAACTTGCCTTTATCATTATTGCCTGCTGAAAACCATGCTTGACTTTATTGTAGATTAACTGAGAAATACCTATAATTTTCCAGACTAGCATTTCTTTGATTTGAAATTGTCAGCTTGAACCTTGTGGAATTGTTCTGACTCTTTAGATTATAGCTAGCAGAACTATAAGTCTGTAATGGAAATATTACCCCCTTACTCAAGTTGCATAGTATTCTTCTATCCTGTAAATGCTGTGTTTCTCCCTGTGAAAGCTAGCAATTCTTTCAAGAGTTGCATTTATCTCTACTTGCTACAAATAAATGTTTGATCATTCTTCAAATAGTATTTCAATGTCATGAGCCCTAATATGCCAACTGAACGCTTTTTCTTCTTTTCCTTTGGCATATCCTCCTCTTCCCTCTCTCCCTCCTTGCAAGTATTTGTGGAGTACCTACTCTGGGCCAGGGACTTGACATTCTTGGTTCTGGAGAGCTAATAGTGATCAAAATAGACAAAAATCCCTGCCTTTATCAAGCCTATAATGGAGAGGACAGATGATAAGATAAAATATATGATATCTTGGATGAGCTGAGGAGGAAAAAATGAAGTAGGAAGGGAAAAACAAGTATCTGGGATGTATGTGCCTCATAGGTGTATGTAGTGTGATCAGCAAATGTCTGAGTAGATGACATTCCAATAAATGCTACAAAATGATACTGAATTATTCTTAATGTGGGTGAGTTTTATTTTAAGAAATTCACAGATTCTTTCCATACCTTGTTAATCAGCCCTCTGAATCATTTAGAATTATGGATAATTTTCCCTTCCATCTTTGCTTTAGGTTCTCAAAGTAAAGCATTCAATAGGAGATTGACTGTAGGAAAAGAATACATTTACAGGTAGAAAGTTGTGTATTGTGGATCTTTATGTTGAGATATTTTTAATAAGTAGGTCACTTTTCTAGGAGAAAAATGGCATATCAGTGACATTTTAAAGATAAAATAATTTATTACCTAGTGTCCTTCAAGGAAACTCTGTAACATAGTAAACTTTGATAAGTTTGGGGTTCATGGACCGGAGGTGAGATCCTGGCTTCCCCCTAACCCCCAGCCTCCAGCCCCCACCATCAGTCTGTGACTTTGAGTGAGTTACTTGAATTCTGGAACCCTGTGCCTTCATTTTACAGAATGGAGTAAATTCTTACCTTGTAGGTTAAACTGCGTACATATAGAAACTGCTCTAAAATTTGTGTTCTTTTTTTATTTTATTTTTTTTACTAGAATTGATTTTTTTTTTAATGTAGGTAAATTATGTGGGAGAAGGGTTTACCAGATGATTTTCATGAGCTCTGGACCACTGGTGAGGGTGACATTTCGTTCCCTTGTACAAAATGCTTTTGGCATAAGCTATATTGTCTTCAAAGTCCAAGGTATGTTTGGTCATTTTATAAACTTATAAAAGTTAAAAATCAATGTTACTCTTTTTAGGAATATTTCAAAACTTATACAGCATTTTGTATAAGAAATCATTTCTGTGAAAAATTAATTTATGTTTGAGAGGAAAATCTAAGTCATTTAAGATTTGATGGGGTCCAAAAGGGAAAAACTGCTCAATGGATATATTGATTGATTGACTTACGATTTCTCAACATGGCTAATATATGTTAGTTACGAGATAATTTTTTTATTATTATTACTGTGACTGTGATTTTAGACCAGAGAGAGCCTTTTCTCCTGCTGTAATTCTTTTGAATCAGATTTGGGTCTAAATCTTAGCTGAGTTACCAGCTCTGGACAATGTATCTCTGTATTAGAATTTTCTTTATAGTAATGTAATAACAAAAGATTAAGTTTTGAAAACAAACTACACGGATTAGATTCTAGCATTATAAATGTAAACTATGCAATTCAGAGTTGTAAGATTGCACTTTAGAACATGTAATTAGTAAGACGTTTTGACTCTTGATTAATGTAGACAACTGAAAGTTAATTTCCCTCCTTGGCACCAAAAAGCATTGCAGAGGATATATCTTTCTGGACCTGTGTGTACTGCACATTTGTTAAACAAAGAAAGTAATAAATAAAAGCATTCCTATTATATGAAAGTTTTCTCTTGGGGAACTATATTAAGAATATTGTTTTCAGGCATGGTGCACAGAGGAGGTTAGGGAGTAAAAAAATATTGCTTTTAGATGGCATTGGGCAATTAACAGGCATTATCTATAGTTTTGTATATAATATTCCATAGACCCTAGGCTATGTCAAAGATTATTCTGAGTGATGTGCTTTTTCTTGTACCTTTGAATATTTAAGGTGGGAAGACTTTACAGTGAAACCAACCACATCCTGATAATTACATTTTTCCCTAAGACAATTAGGGAGGAGAGCTGATTACCTTGATCTGAAAAGGTATATCATAAGCCTGTTAAAAATTAATTTTACTCTCATTCCCTCTGCTTCCTTTTCTTCTAGGTTCAAAGGACAGTAAAATAACCAGAACTTCCCAGAATTCAAACCAAGAGCATGTGGTCACTTTTGAGGATGCTCTTCTGACCAAGCCAGCCAGAGTCATACAGACCCCAAGATACTCTTGTGGAGCTACTGTAAGATAAAGGAGGCATGTTTATGATGATGAAAGAAGCATGTGGAAAATCAGTTGACTAACATCAGCACTTGGTATTTGCTTAAAGCATTACTCTCCACCTTCTTCTCCTTAAAAAATATACTTTTAGATAACCCTTGATCTCTGGCTTTTAATATGGAAAGAAAACAATGTAAGAATATTCCTGTTGGTAAATTGTACTTTCTCAACAAAAGAGACCAATTTATTAGGCAAAGTAGAAAGCCAAATCTCTATGAAAGAGATTTTGGGAAGTTTGGGACAAATTCTGGCACATTTAGGTCCTTCAACTCTTATAGATTACCAATCAGAATTTAGAACAATACACATGATGGACCAACCATTTACCATAATGTGTGAATTTAACTGTAACTTTTGACAAATTAGGTATTAGAGAATATTATTAATTGGTGTAATTTAAAGTAGAAATCTTTCTCTCACCCAGGCATAAAGAAACAGGCATAAAAACTAAGGCTTACTGAGAGGCAATAAAATTGATGCATTAAATTCTGAATAAATATGTAAGTTTTTTTCTGTTTAGAAATCATTTCCTTTTCTCATCTATACCATCATTGCCAACAGGGGTTAGTAGCCCCTTTAAATCACATCATTCACCCTTTGTTACCAACTTCCAGATGAAGCTAAGAACCTTAGCCTGTCACAGTCACCTGTGGGTTTGTGAAGGATTTGGACCAAACAAAAATAGGTAACTAATTTTCCATGGAGAACTAAGCTATCAACTTTCTTCTATGAAACATTTTTATATTGTTTTATATTCATTACGTGGCTTACATGTGACATCAACTTGTCTCTTCTTATGTGATGTTGAAATAGCCTTACTTTTATTATTTTCTTAGATTTAAAATTAAGATGACATCTTCTCAGATTAAGTTAACAATAAAATGCAGCTGTGTTTCCCACTTGGATCTCACCTAGATTAAATTTGCCCAGATATACAAAAAATAAACATTGGTAAAGCAATTTTAGACAAATATAAACACATAAAAATTGAGACTATACTATTAATCAGACAAAATAATCACAGAAAAAGGCATTTAATGGGTTTATCAATTAGGCAGTAGCTAGAAACCTGGTTATAGTGACTTAAACTTATTATTTTAAGAGAGATACCCAGAAGTATGCAGATGTACTGTTAACTAATAGTTCAACAATTCGTCTCTGCCAGTACAAAAATTACTCTGATTCTTTTGGCCTTTTCCTAGTGATTGCATAATCATTATTTTAGTTCTCATCATTACATTGAAGGAAAAAGGAAAGGAGGGGGAGGGGTAAGAGAGGATTGTTTCTACCAAGAAAGCAAAGCATGTTTTCCAGGAATTTTGTAGCAGATTAAATCTCTTTGGCCAGAGTTGTCACATGGCCACACCTGAATGGAATGGGACTAGGGAGAAGGAAAATGGAAAAGGGCTTTGAGTGGTCAACCAACATTCCAGACATGATGGGGCATAGCAGTCCAGAATTCTGGAATCTGATGGTCCTAGGTCCATATCTCAGTGCTACTACATAGTAGTTCAGTGAGTTTGGGAATGATTCCAAAGCTTTCTGAGACTCAATTTCTTTATTTTATGATAAGAGACACCCCACCATAACTCACACATACTTTATACTATAAATTCCCAATTTACTTAATCCAGGATACAAATGTGTAATAACGTAACAGCCCAGAGAAAGAGAATGTATGGCTTTTTGCTGGCCTTTGCTTCCCTAAGAAGGAGCCAGATACCAATGTCCCTCTACATGCTGGTAGGCTCCTATTCAGAGTTGATACAATAGACAGTTGCTAAATCACTGTTCTTTTTATTCTTTGGATTTATATTATCATCTCAGAAGTAACTACACTAACAATCTTTGTTTCCACTTAGTGGAATGTTAATAAACACTGAGCTTTCTTGGGTTCCTGAGCTAATTTAGTATCAACAATAGCTTCCTATGGGGAGAGTGCAGTATCCTTGAAAATTATGTATGCTGCTACCATTCTTGCCTTACAGAACACCTGTTACCTTGCATTGCCTCATGAGGTTATTTTGAGAATTAAATAAGAGAATGCACGTGAATCAATATGTAAAAAGCTATGTCTTTGGCTTAGAAACATGTATCCTGATAACCGTTCTTAAAAGTGCGCTGCTTGGAAGAAAAGATTAGACTCCTTCCCTATTGCCTCTCCTGTGGGTGTCAGAGTGCACAAAGGTTGGAAGAACAAAGAAAGAAAGAAATGGATGGGAAAGGAAAAGTACATTGGCAATGTCAGTTATAACTTATGTTAATCAACTGTATAGCTGTTTTTCTTAGAATTAATTCATAAAACATATGTACTATTTCCTATTTTCTTTTCCAAAAAAAAGTTGTATGACTCAATTTCAATTTCTTTAAATAAGATTTACAAGCTCTGGGATATAAGAGAGGAAAAATATTCTTTTCCCTCTATCCATCTATGATATTGTCATATAATAAATACATATTTGGTCTTTATTCGTGGCCAGAGCTCCTAAAATCCTTGTGATTGCCTAAGAGATAAGAAAGGAGTATCTTTTATGATTCTGAACAAGCTCCTTTCAACCAAACCTTCATTTATGTTAATGTGAAGTGACTTGTGCAAAACCTCTAAGGATGGAGGGCTGGTTGCCAGAGGAACCGGCCATGTGATTAGAGGGTAGAACTTACAGCCCAACCTCTTGGGAGGAAGAGAGAAGGACTGGAAATTGGCATAATCACCAATGACTAATAATGGGATCAGTCATGTCTATATAGTGAAGCCCCCATGAAAACCCAAAAAGACACGGTTTGGAGAACTTCTGGTTGGTGAATGCTTTGGAGGTACTGGGAGGGTAGTGCACCCAGACAACATTGAAGCTTTGTGCCCATTGTCCATATCTTGACTTATGCATCTTGTTCATCTGACCGTTCCTGAGTTATATCCTTTGTAATAAATTGGTAAATGTAAGTGTTTCTCTGAAGTCTGTGAAGTCACTCTAGTAAACTATCAAACCTGGGAAGAAGATTGTGGGAACCTCCAATTTATAGCTGGTCTGTCAGTAACACAGGTGACAACCTGGATATGTGTTTGGCATCTGAAGTGGGGAGGAGGGTGGCAGTCTTGGGAGACTGAACCCTTAACCTTCATGGTCTGTGCTAACCCCAAGTGGATAATGTCAGCACTGAATTGAATTGTAGGCTATCCAGTTGTTGTATGCCAGAGAACTAAAATATAAGTTATTGTGAGGGGGAAAATCCCACACATCCGGTGTCAGAAGTGAGTTATTGAGAATAGCAATAGTAGTAGTGGAGGAAATGGTTTTTTCCTTTAGTTGGTGTAGAGAAGTTGCTTTTTTTTTTTTTTTTTCTTAGATCATCTTAGACCATTGGCTGGGAATCCTGCAAATTACACTGACAAAAGACAGATTAAAAACAGAAAAACAAGTTTATTAACACATGCATCTTGATCATGTATCTATATGGAAATACTCAGTGGTGAGTAACTCAGAGGTGATTAGAATTTGGGCTTATATAACATCTTAACAAAAGAACAATAAATTTGTAGAGAAGTGATGAGATAAGGAAAAAGGATTTGAGCTGCTAGGGGTGAAAAATTGTGGGAAGGCAAATTTATAGGGGAAACGAATAGAAAATAAGGATTATTTAGCAAGCTTTTTATGTGGATTCCTCTGGGCTGATAAAATTCTAGAGTTGTCTCTGGTGACTAAGAATTGTCCTTCCCTTCCTTGGGGTAGAGGGGCAGAGAGTTTTTTTTCTTATGTCTGCCTTTTTTCTTCCCCAATTTCCTTCAGTTCAAAATAATCTTCATGCCAGAATGGCATACTCTGAACTACTGTAAGGATTTAAGCCAATGGTCGAATTTAACAGATTTTTCAATGAATATTTAGAAGAACCAAGTAGGATTTATCCTCAAAACATAAGGATAACTTAATATTAAAATGTATTACATGTCATGAGTTTCTAATATAAATTAGAAAAATAGATACAAGTTAAATATACAGCAATCATAATCTTAAAATCATAGCAGTAAATATTAGAGGACATCATGGAAAAATCATTTCTATTATAGTTAGCAACAAAATTATATAACTAGGAATAACCCTAAAATGAAATGTGAGGTTTATTATGCAAGCTGTAAAACTTTATGGAAATGTGCACACAAAGATTTGAGTAGATAAAAGCATCATGTTCCAAACTGAAAGACATAATACAATTCAACCCACATTAATTTACAAATATAATGTATTTTCTAACAAAATCCCAATGAGATTTTTTTTTGGAGGGATGAGGAAGAAATTGGTAACAACTATAAAGTTTATCCTGTAAAATAAATAAGACTAACCAAAAATTGTTTGGGGAAAAGAATGACCAGATGGTAAGGTGAACTGCTCTCTCAGATATTAAAGCATTATTTAAAACGATGATAATTAAAACTAGTATAAGAAAAACACATGAGTGGAAATAAGTTAAAAGGAACCCTAGAAAGTTTTAAGAAATTATATGTGGTAAATTTGGCATTACTACCCAGGAAATGTATAAAATTCATCATAGCACACAACTGATTAAAGAGTTAAGTGTTTTTCTTTAGCCATTAAAAAGTGGAAAAAATTGGTAATTAACTGTATATGGAGAAAGACCTTCTCATATCAAAGCAAAAGAAGAAAACAAATTATCAAGTTCTTAAACAGTTAAAAACTTTTCTGCATCAACAGAAAAAAAAACATAACAAATGGGATTTTCAACAATTCTGAGAAATGTTTAAAGTAATTAACATAAGTGTTTACAAATCAATATTAGGCTCAAATCTGTAGAATTTATAGGCCTCAGATATCATTGACTTAGCCTTGATTAAATTTAAAGTTAAACCAAAGGCCACTAACCTTTTGTTTTTGACTTATTTTTCAAGAGAATAATAAACTATTGACCCAAGTGCTTTTGAAAACAAAACAGAGGAGGATTAACCATTAGCTTCTTTTGATAAGAAAGGTTAGTGAATATTTCCATACTCCATTATTATACAATCTAAATTAAATCTCTTATTTTGTTTCTTGTCACAGTGAAGTTGATCTTCTGGCCATCTGCTTACTAAAAAGGACAGAATTTTCCTATAGTAGTAGAAAGCTTAGAAGTTCTAGGGTCCTTGACTTGAAACCATGAGTTTTTTAGGAAACTGCACTTATCAAAAAATACTACGTATGATCAATTAAACTTAGAAAAGTTTGGTCATAGGAAGCAGATTTGAATTGTCTATTTTATGATAATTAACCCTTGACAATGACCTTTCTAATCTACACTAATTAATGCAAGTATAAAACACTGGAAATTCTTGTAGAATTAGAGGATTCCTAATATTAAAAAATTATAAGTACAGCAAATAAGAATCTAACCGATTTCAAAATACAACTCGAATCACTGTTTTCCATGAAATACCCTAATTTTAAAAATGGCAAATGACCTGAATGAGCAAAATATAGGCAAATAAATACCTATAAGGAAAAAAAAATTGGCCCCTTTAAAACAGAAATGAGAAAAAAATTTACCTAGTAAATTGATGAAGATTTTGAAGAATGATTATACTTATAAAATATAACATGCATTTTCATTTTGAGTTATAATTTAAAGTATGTTTTCTGGAGAAATATTTTTCAATGAACTCTAAGTTCATAATATCTTAGTGTCTGTACTTATTAAAAATATATGTATATACAAAGATGTTATGCATTAGAAGTTTATTTGGCATTAATTATAGTAGCCAAAAAATGAAAATAAATGGGGAAATGATTAAGAAAATTATAGTAAATCCATAGGGTAAATTGTTATGTGGCCATTAAATATTTGCACATAATTTTTTTGTAAAACAGAAAAATCCACGTGTAATATTGAATGAGAAAATCAGGATGAAGTACTATGTGGTACAATTTAAATTTTTTTTTAAAGTGAGTGAAATAAGAGTCTAAAGGAAAACATCACTTTGTTTAATTTAACATCTTTAGATTATGAGCATTTTTTTTTAATTCTTAACATTTTCTCCAATGAGTGAACAAACCTTTTTAATCTTAAGTCTATAACAGACAAAAGAAGGAAAAAATATCTTGTTCTAGAAATGGGATTGGATTCATGGAAGAGGATTTACTGGGAACTGCATGACAGCATTCAGACAATTGTCTCAGGACCCAGTGCTTGACTCTTTCTTTCTTTACCTATACTCCTAAGTGACCTCACCCACTCCTAGCTTTAAATACCATCTATACACAGAGAACTTCCACATTTATATCTTCAGTCCCAACTTCTTTATTGAATGCTAGCACTGTATATCCAAGTGCCTCCCTTTTCACCTGGATATCTAATATGCAGCTCAGATTTAACATGACCAAACTTGAATTCTTGATTTCCTATCTCCCTGTCTTCAAACTCTTCTTCCACCAATCTTCCCCATCTCAGTAGCTGTTAATTCCATTTTACTGACTAAATGATTCAAGCATCCTTAACATCTGGTCATCCTTAACATTTCACATAAAATATAGTTAGTCTGTCAGTCTTTGAGCAAAATAGATCTAGGATTCAACTACTCAACAGTTCCACCATAACATTCTGGTACAGGTCTTCCTTTAGTCTATTTTACTCATAACAACCAGAGTCGTCATTTTAAAATTACATTCAGATCTTGTCACTTTTGTTTGTAATCCAGTGTTTTCCCAACTCATTCATATTAAAAGCCCTTACAGTGCCTACAAGATGCCATGTGATCTGGCACTTGACTATCTCCTTGATGGTCTTCTTTGGCCATTTTCCCCAATGCTCACTTTATACCAGCCATGTCAACCTTGATGTTGTTCTTCAGTCACACCAAGCATGTCCCCTGCTATATCCCTGATACCTACAACCATGCCTGGTAAATAGGCAGTGCTCAAGAATTGTTTGTTTAAATAAACGAGATGGCGTTTCGGCTGAGGCAGATTAGGAGTGGAGAATGAAGAAGTAGCTCCTTAGCTGATGAATGGGTTAGAAATGCATCTATTTTGCTTATGGGAATCCTCCTGCCTGAGAACCAAAGTATAAGTTAACTCAGGAAGGAGACTATTATATATATTCAATTCTGTTTTTCACATAAACATAGAAAACTTTTAATGCAGACATCTTTCCAATGAAAACTTTTCCAGAGAAAAATAATAGATTTATACTTCAAGTGTGAGGTTTATTAAAGAACTGACTCATAGTCTTAAGGTTGCATATTAAAATATTCTGATAGGAATTATGGTACATCCGTATGAATAAAAATATAGAGCCATTAAAATTTATATGGAATATTTAATAGCATGGAAAATAGTTACAATAAATTAAGTGGACAGAAAAAAGTTTATAATGGTGTAAAATGGCATACAATTTCTAAAAAATGTATATATTGCACAGGAAAAGGCCTTATAATATTTACATTAAAACATAAATATTAGTTACTTAAAGGAGGCACCATAGGTGACTTTTAATCTTTTTTGGATTCTGTATTTTTGAAATATCTTACAATGCATATGTATGTATTGTTATAGTCAAAAAAATAAATATATTAAAAATGTTTACTTTTGACCCTGAATTTATATATATTATAAATGTTTAATATAAACCCTGAATATTCTTGTTCTAGATTCCATGAGAAGAAAAATTAAAATTTAATGATAAAGATAAGGCCATAAAGGAGGAGGTAAGGAATCTGTGATACAGAATTTGACTTGGCTTTGGTTAGCTGATATTATGAAAATATAACTGGGAATATCTTTGCTGCTAAACATTATCTAGTAAATAGTATACTCTGACTTCTGTCAAAACTTTCAGATATTTATAGCCTGATTCTAGTTGCTTTATAGTAAAATATGAATTCATATTAATATTCTTAGTATCAAACTTTGGGACCAGTGGAGACCTCAGATAGATTAGGGAGTAGAGAATAAGAAGGTAGCTCTTTGTTTCATGAGAGGGTAAAAGTGACGTCTGCTTTGCTTATGGAAATCCTATCTATTTTAAGTCTATTATTGCCATTCTTTCCATATATTTTATGCCTTTTAGATTATGTATTTTTTGTTTTTCTTTGCCGGATTATTGCATTATGATAATTAAGGTGTGAGATTATAGATTAAATAAATTAATATTTGAATGACCTCAATTTTAGATTAGATAATATCTAGAGCATTTGGAATAGTCTCAAAATATCATTGAATTGCCCAATTTTCTTTCCTGGCATAGTAGCCTCTTGGCCCTGTGAACCTTAATGTCCTAGTTTCAACTATTTGTGAGTGATCCAAATTTCCTTACCTTATAAGTATTGGTAATCTGAGTTGTACGTGCTGTGACACTGGACTTTAGGAGCTCCAGAGAGTTAGTTACCTAGTACCCAGATCTAAGTAACCTGCTTGCCTTGTTCTCTACTCACATTTCATGATGTTGAAGTTATTTTTTACTGCGTTTGTGGGGGAATGAAATATTCCTGTGGTATTTGCAAATTTAGGGAAGTTCTAAATACCTTAGGACACATCTGTGGAAGTCATCATATTTCCCATGATAGTGAACCTTAAATAAGATTATATATTCTAGGAGCAACAAAACTACACTGAAATGTAGAT